TGTTTTTTTTTTATAAAATGGAGTACTACTCAGCCATAAAAAAAGAGAAACTAGAGACATTTATAGCTAAATGGATGCACATTGAGGCCATACTCTTAAGTGAAATAAACAGGACATGCATGTGTAAATACTGAACAGTTTCCCTGGTATGAGAAATTAAAAGTGTAAATAAGGATCAAAATGTATAATTGATAATGTGAAATAGGAAGAAAAGGTTTAAAGGGGTAGGGTAAGTGGGAGGGGTAGGGGAAAAGGAAGGAAGGGGAAAAAAAGAATATTAGAAAAGGATAAATGTAAACAAAGTCCTTGTAAATAGGGAGGGGTGGAGGGTTTGAAGGGAGGACAGGGGAATGGGGGAAAAATAAGAACCAAGATACATCATGTAAAGATACAAGTTCCCAATGATGAATGTAACTGTAGTGTATACCTAAAATGTACCAATAAACTTAATGAAAAAAATTAAAAATAAATGATGGTAGCAGCTTCCTTCCTAGCTCATCTCCTTGACTCTACATTCCCCTTCCTCTAATCCACATTTTATGATCAAATTTACATGCTACATTTTAATTTGTAAAACTAATCTTCCAAAGAATATTAATTTTGTCTAGCTGTTAAACTCCTCATACACTAGAACTTAGTCATACTTCCAAAGTATTCACTCTTCCTCAACATGAATGTCTTATTCTAATTTGCCCTCTAAATATCTGGTATTTATTCCTAACCCTAAACACCCTAAACATTTCCTTTTGTGAGTCTACCATTTAACATGGATTTCTTCTCCGCTACATTTATGTGAACCTTGCATGTATTTCATTCCATATTTTTTAAAGGCTGTATTGATCTTTATTTTAGCTTAAGTTTTAGAATATTCAGAATTTGAAGCTAGACTGATTTAAGCTCATCTTATAGATTTGAATATACAGTTTAACAAACAACCAAGACTTTTTTCTCCTTTCATACAGCACACTTTCCAACTGAGACTATTCCATTAGGTAGATGACTAAACTATGTAGTTTCTTAAACTTGGACTAATATTTGTATGCTGGGCATTTACTTATATCAGAGATAATCGCAAGTAATACTGTATAACCTGTTCTGCATGTAATAGTGTTTAACTCATTCTAATAGAAAACCAGATAAAATATTAAAGGATAACTAATTCTAAGTAACTACCATTTCAGGCAATAAGCCCATAAGTTTTGTCAGAGAAGAAAGGAAATAATCTAACAAAGTTAAAGAATAAACTAACAGATTGAATTCCAGTGCTGCAGATGCCACTGTGAACTTGCCTGATCTTCCTGAATAACACCTGACAGTTAAAAACAAAAGCCATAAGACTGTATATAACCTTTGGTCCCATTAAATCCACTTGGAGCATCATGGCAAATCAAAAACAGAGGAAAGATAAGAAATATAAACATTGCCTATGACATTCTGGAAAAGGGAAGACTATGGAGACAGTAAAAAGATCAGTGGTATTGCCAAGGACTAAGAGGGAGAGAAGGATGATTAGACTGAGCACAGGGAATTTGGGGGGCAGTGAAACTACTCTATGTGATGGTATAAAAATAGACAACACCTGTCATTGTACATGTGTCCCAACCCAGAAAATCCATAATACGAAGAATGAACACTAATGTAATCTATGGTCTTTAAGCACTGATGTGTCAACATGGAGTTATCAATTGTAACAAATGCATTGTTCTGGGGGGCGATGCTGATAATGCACATGTGGAGGCAGGGGTATATGAGAATCCTCTGTACCTTCCTCTCATTTTGCTGTGAATCTAAAACTGCTTTAAAAATAAAACCCATTAGAATGCTTAAGAAAAAACATACAAACATTGTAATTCCATGACATAACTAAAAGTTATAAGGCTGCCACTATGTTAACATATGAAAATGCTTATACACTTCGCATGGATATATAATATTTAGCAAAAAGAAAATGGTATGTATGGGTGGATTATGACAACTTCAGTGAAATATTTAGTTATAATTGACAATCTAAGGAAGTATAAAATTAAGTGTTCATTACAATTATAATATTTGTTACTACAATTGGCAGAGCTTTTTAGAACATATGATGTGTTTTCACACATGTATGCTTTCATATATGTACTTGAAAACACAATCGATTATAGTAGAACCATGGCTGTACTTGCCTTCCCATCTGGGAGTTCCACATAGCCTTCTATATCAGTAGTGGCTGTTTTGCCAAATCGACCTAGTGATCCCTGCAGCTTGAGGCCAGTGAATGTAAAAGCCATTTCCCAGAATCTAAAAACAAACAAGAAACAGATAAAATGTACTTCAAATAAGTTATTTTTATTTTACTAAATATTTATGTACCTCCTAATCATATACTACTTCATTCATTTGTCTAACTTATATGTGGTATCTACTACCCACCCATCAGGCGAAGCTCTAGCAAATATAAAGTCAGCAACTAAATGCTCAAAAATTTGTCTGGCTTCATGAATCTAATATTTTGAGTTGTGCTGTTTGATGTAATAGCCACCAGTCACAAGTGACTATTTGAATTTAGAGTTAAAGTAATTAACATAGATAAAATTAAGAGTTCAGTGTTTCAGTCAATTTAGCCAATTTCAAATAGCAATAACTATATGTAGTTGGTAGCTCCTATATGAGACAGAACAGAATATTTCCAGTCTGGCAGAAAGTATTTTTGAACAGTATTGTTTTAGAGGATATGGAGGTTTTCCAAAAAATTCTAATGTACTAGCTATGTGACACTGAGTGCTTTTCTCAATCACACTGTGCCTTCATTTTCTCATCTATAATATGAAAATGTTAGTAACATTTCCTTCATAAAATTCTTGAAAAACTTCATGCCTAGCAGTCAATAAATGTTAGCTAAAATTAATCTTTTCTTTAAAATAGCTTAAACAAATGAATAGTCAGAATGATAGAGACTATGTAGAAAAAGGAGTCTGGCTTATCCAACTAGATACAAAACAGACAAGGAAAGGTGTAAACAGGCCAATAATACAAAGCCACAGCCCAGACAAAGAGCTTCCTTCTCCAAAGCTATGGTATAGGTCCCTGATCATATGCTTCCATGTATTCTGTGTTTCTTTCATACCACTTTGCACATGAAATAATTAGTCAATATCTCTCTTTTGCCAAAGAAATAGTGCATAGAAAATATGCACTTTACTAAATGATAGGACAACATAAGAAACTGGAACATTGTGGCCTACAAGCTAGGAGACTTTCTTGAGAATTCACCCAAGATTACATTTTTTAAATGTCCTCAATTATTCCGTATTTCTAGTGAGTGAATAACAAAAAGACTAGATTTAATTTGGGATGAGAGGAATTTGGTGCCGTCCAGAATGTCTTTTAAAGATATGCTGGGCATCATGTTATGGGCAGTGCCAAGGTGGTAGCAGAAGTGTTTCCTTAATAAAATAGAGGGGTCAGGGTGGAACAGAGGTAGAAAAGAACAACACTCCACGCTGGAAATACACCAGGATGTGACAATCGAAAGAGCAGAGAATTTGGAGCCAGAGGCCTGAGATAAGAGTAGGCTCTGCTACCATTGAGGATTGAGTGTCCCTTGTCAGGAATGGTAGAGACTGATAATTCTTGTTTTATACACCAGGACAGAGTTGCTACAAATGAGAAATTTAATAATGATATGAAAGATGAACTTGAAAACACCATGCCAATGTTAGTTATTGGAACACTAATAAAATCTCTTTTAGGAGAAGACTGAGAGAAGATGGTAGGCTAAATTTAAAAGCTGTTCTTTTTTATCGATACTATCTTTGAAAATAAAATCCCACATATCTAACTAGAAAAGGTGAACTACTAGTTAGTCTTTTTAAAAACACATTTTGAAATTATCCTAATTTTAACAACAGCAAAAGTCTTTGGGTCTTAGATCCTCTTAGAAAATAGCCTTGTGCCAGGTGTGGCATACACCTGTAATCCCAGTACTCTGGGAGGCTGAGACAGGAGGATCCCAAGTTTAAATCCAACCTGGGCAACTTAGTAAGACCCTGTCTCAAAATTTAAAAAAAAAACAAAACACAAAAAAACCAGGTTGGATAGCTACAGCTCAGTGTGAAAGCCCTGGGTTCAATCCTCAGTACTGAGAGGGAAGAAAACAAAGGAAAATGCCCTTCTAATATCTACCAGCTCCCCTATTTGTCAATTCACATACTTGATGTGGCCTGATCCCGAAGTAGTAAGTTGCTCTTCATCTTCAGGATTGAAAGTAACCTTAAAAACTTCCTGAGAAAAAGCTTTTGTCCTCAGTGTGGGTTGCTCTTCTTTCCAATTCCAAATAGTCAATGTGTAATCAGGGTGGCTACCAATAGAGGCCAACAAGGTACCCATGTAGTTAAAGTCCACATAAGTATATGCCGTCTCAGTCCCATCTGCAAGGATGAACAGGAGCCTAATAAATGAAGGCAACATTTATTTCATTGGGGTGGGGGGGGAGGAATTCATGTAAGAATGACAAAAATTCCATGCTCCTTTAGAGAGGAATTCCCAAATCATTCCTCACCCTTGGCTTTAGAATAGATTACATGATATAAAGGGAGAAGGTAAAGAAGTTATATTCACATTTTGTGTGTGTTTGTAAGTTGAACATTTATTACAACTAATTGGTGATGTGATAAGTCAGTGCTCACATGGCCTGAATGTTGGTCACAATCACAACAAAGCTGAATCCAGCCCAGCATATACAAGTGAAAGTGTAAACCATAAACACAATGTTTAGATATGTACAATGATGTATAAAACTGATGCTGAACAGTTACATAACTTTTAAAAATATAGGGCCAACTAATGCCATTGTACTTCATTCATGTTCACTTTGTTATATGAAATGTGTCTTTTTAAATATATTCACATTTTACATGAGAAAAACCACTTTGTGAACATATTTTATTTTACAAAGGAGAAACACAAAAGTATATAAGTTGTGAAAATTTGTCACCAAAAATTCCAAAACTGAAAATTGACTACTGAAATTAACTATATGAAAAACAGAATTATAAGATATTGGTGATGATTAATTTTATGTGTCAACTTGGCTAAACAATAATCTAGATGGCTAAATAATAATCTAGATGTTACTGTGAAGGTGTCTTGCTTATGTGGCTAATATCTAGTCAGGAGACTAAAGAGATTATCCTTGATGATCTTAGGGAGCCTCACCCAATCAGATGAAAGGTCTTGAAAGTAAAACTGAGGATTCCATGAGGAAGAAGAAATTTTGCCCCAAGGCCACAACCTTAACTCCCTCCCCTAAAATTTCCAGCCTGCAGCCCTGACCTACAAATTTTGAACTTACCAGTCTCCAAAATTATGTAAACTGGGTTGGGGATTTAGCTCAGTGGTTCCGCCACCTACCTCACAAAATTATGTAAGCCAATTCCATTGAATAAATCTCTTTTCCATTTCTTACTAGTTCTGTTTCTCTGTAGAATCCTGATTAATTCAATAATCTTATGTCTTCTTCAGAATGTTGTTAACTTTAAATATATTTTAAAAACTCAGACTTACCTCGAAGGATTCTGTAGGGCCTCAAAGAAGGGTATTCATAGACGATAATCTTTGGAAAACTTCCTTTTTCAGCTACTGTGAAGTAAGTTTTATGTGGATGAACCTACAAAAAATGGAATCTCTCTAAAATATTAAAGAGAAGATCTCTATAGAATCTTACTAATACAGTATTTAGTGACAATTATTATTATTATTTTTTGTACCGGGGATTGAACTCAGGTCCTTGCACTTGCACAGCAGGTGGCGAAACCACTGAGCTAAATCCCCGGCCCTAGTGACAATTATTTTTATAATTGGTTAATTAGGATCTATTCCAAAAGAAACCTCAAAAAAATGGCCATCTGAGAAACATTTGATGATAGATATGATTTGACCTGGAAACCAAAAGAAAGTAAAACTTTAAGGTTTATTTTCATTATGGCAGTCATTTCTAACTCTAAAATAATTTAAATTGCCAAAGCTAAAATGATGGCTCTCAATCTTTAGTATGCACCAGAATGATTTAAGACACTTCTTAAAACACAGAGTGCAAGTCCTACCTTCAGTTTCTGATTTAATAGATCAAGGCTGGAACTTTACATTTCTAAGAAATTTCAAGGTGATGTTAATGCTGCTGGCCTGGGGATTACACTTGAGAACCACTAAATTGGATGAATTGTTTGCCTTGTATATAAACCAACCTAAATTCTGCCTAGAAAATTCATGGAATTTATTTGTCTTGGTCCATTTTCTGCTGCTATAGCAAAATACTTAAGTCTGGGTAACTAATAATGAACAGAAATTTGGTTTATGGTTCTGGAGGTTGGAAAACCCAAGATGAAGAGACGACATCCATCAAGAGCCTTTTTGTTGCATCTTCTCATGAGGGAAGGTGAAAGGGCAAGAGAGTGAAAGCAAGAGGGAGCCAAATTCACTTGTATAACAACACACTCTCATTATAACTAACCCCTTCCTCCATAATATCAGTCCATTCACGCCCTCATCACACTTTATTAGGCCTCATCTCCCAACACTGTTGTATTAGGAATTAGGTTTCCAATGTATAAACTGTGGGAGACACATTCGAACCTTAGCGGTGTGGAATTCGTGTTTCCAGAGGAGATTATAACTCAATCAAAAAAAAAAAATCTTGAACAAACTTATCAAAAATGACTGTAAACTTCAACAGAGGTGAGAAAGATATGATATTTCCAAGCCAGACAGAGAAAAATATAATAAATATGCCCTGGATAAACTATGTCAGCATTTTAAAGAATAGCCCTATAAATTGGATAAAATTATATGCTCATTTCTTTTATTTTTGTTCACTCGCAAACCAACTGTACAAGAAGAATAATTAGCAAAGAAAAAACCAATAGAGATAAGCTCAGTGGCACTGTGCCTGCCTGGCAAGTGCAAGGTCCTGAGTTTGATTCCCTGTACCAGAAAAAAAAAAAAAAGTAAGCTATTTAAAATACATCTTGTCCTTTAGAAATAATATAACTGTAATCCTAGCAACTGAACTTGTTACTGTCCTAGGTAACCAATGAAGTAGCAAATGGAAGTAAGAAATAGTAAACTCCAAGGAGGTTGGGGAAATGGATTAACACTGTACCTGCCTAGATCCCAATTTACAAAAATATATTGCATAGGCTATGTGGTGACAGATACCTGAATGCAGAGTCAGTTATATCCTTTACCATGTCAGGTCTTGTCTACAGTAAGTAAAAAAAGTTTCTGCCCCTCAGAGTGGAAGCTGCTGTGAGGTTGAGTTTGGGTGTTTTGTTTTTAGTGGAAAACTAGGGTCAAGGAGTCATTAACCTGACATTCAACAAACAGATTCTGTCTTTTCTGGAAGATATTTTATATGGTCAAAACAGATTTCTTATAGCCTTGCAAAAGTATTTCTCATCCTCAATTGGACAACTGCTACAGAGAAGACAAAGTGCTATGCACAGCAGAGCTGTGGCCTCCCTCACTGCTCCAGGACTCATGGCTAAAATCCCTCGTGGACATAAAGCTGTTCAGCATCCAGATGGCTAAGTGTTAGTGTTAGCATTCCTGGCCACACCACACCTCTGCCTATTGTCCTCATACCACATTATTTTATAACAAAATAGAAAAAGACTGTTAATAGCCACAAAATGAGAAATGAATATGTGATCTTTTTAGGTCTCTGCCAATGGCGTGGACATCAGGCTCATGATACCTCATGACCCCTGAATACCTTCACTCCACAAAACCCATGATCTCACGTTGGGCCCATGGTTATCTGCATATAGTTATTGCCACATAAACTTACATTTCTAGGTTTTTAAAATAGTTTTTTCTCTTTAGACGGATTTTAAGCTCTTTGAATTTGTACAGGTCATGAATTCTTCCTTTAAATCTTCCACTGTATGTTCTACGTAGTGTTGGCTGAATAATACTACATATAAACTCTTACTAAGTTTATTAGTTTTTTAAAAATCCCTGAGGATAGGGCCTTTTATCATGTACACATGCCATATATAGATAGATGATCAAGAAAGAAACAAACATGAGATTATCTTTCCACTCCACACACCTCATGGTATTGTTTCCACAGTCAGTGTATCTCTATGTCCTCTCTGTGGGTCTCATTTTCCTCACCTTCCCCCTTTCCATTGCCATGTGCCTGCTTCAATACTCAAATAAAAATCACTTACTTCTACTTCTAATCTGAATGTGAAAGAACATGCACAACTGTGGGCAAGGCATTGAGCCTCTAAAGCCCCCATTTCTTTATCTATAAAATGGGTAGATAATAATAATACTAACATATGATCTATTGGATTAAGGCAATGTCAGTGAAGGTAGTGGTTGGAATAACTGAATAGAAAATGCCTGAGGTGATGGCTGTACACCTTATGTGACCCCACAAGACTCTGCATGGCATTGGCACCTAACAATCACTGATGCTTGGTCCACAGAATACAGAAGATGAGCTTTGTTTTGCTGTTACTATAGGCATACCCCAATGGCACCAATTCCTTCACCACTGCTACTTCGTAGGTAGATTTGTTCCTTGGTTTTAAAATTCAGAAGAACCAGCTGGTTCCCAGCGATGTATATCAAGGTACTGCTGTCTAGAAGTTGTAGGTTGGCTCGCTTTCTACAGTCATAACCAAAAGAATATCTGAGGGAAAGTTGTTAAGGAAAAGAAGTGAAGCAAAATAACCATTTTAGGAGAGGAAAAGTGATGAAATAAAGATATTTTAAAATCCATATTCTTGAAGATTCAAAGTTGAAGTAGTTGAATTTTACCCTAAAACTCATTTTTTCTAGGTATTACTAGCACCATTTATTTATAAATTAACTGAAAATTCTCATATACTGATTTAGTTACTATTTTAATTGTCCTAAAGAAATTCTAGAAGCACATTGTTTTTGTAATAACAACGTTAAACCTTCTATTTGGGTATCATAGAGCAAAGTTGTCACTTAGGTAATTTCATTTTTTTCTCTCAATAAAACTAAATCACTTTTATAAAATGGAATAAAGTCTATAGTCTTCATAATTTTTGTATTCATAATGACTGTCTATATAATGATTATATAATATATGGACCTCTTCCTTGATGCTGAAAAAGATGTTTAAAACTCTGACATTTGTGAAATTCTAACACACCATTTGATAACCACTCTGATAAATTAACATAAACATAACTGAAATTTAATTCATACAAATCATGAAAACTGACCTTATATATGGTATAGAAATATATATGTAATTAATAAGTTTAATATTTTCTTTCAGGTTGTCAGTAAGTACATTGATACATAGGTAAGTATGTATGGATGGATATGTTTATATTATATAGTAAAACTGCACTAATTTAAAAATAGAAGTTTTCAAAAATCTGAGTTATATAAATACCTTGCAATGTATATTCAGGTTCAAATTAATTTAAAAAGATATAACTGTAATAAGTAAATTTAATGAGATGAAACTATGAAAAATGAAACTGGCAAAAGAAATATATAGCAATTTGTTGTACACCAAAGTTGAAGGATCATTGGAGAAAACTTTATTCACACCTTTTTTTTTAAAAAAATTGATGTTAGAAGGTTCACTTATTATTTTTTTTTTAGGTTCACTTATTTTTAAGGAAATAAAATTTTCAAAGGAAGAAATTATGTGGAATTTTTAGCAAGAAGTAAATGTACAATGTACAAAAAGAAGATAATATTTTCATTAGTGTTACAAATACTTAACTCTACCCTTGAAAAGTGATGACAGCCTTAAACAAAATGTAAATGAATGAATGTGGTTGTGCTGCAATAAAAATGTATTTACAAAAATAGGCTGAGGTCCTAATTTGCTCCACAGCTGTAGTTTGCCGACCTCTGACCTAAGAAATGAAGATCCCCAAATTATGCACTGTAGCCAGAGTGGATACACAAGCTCAAGAAAATTCAGAGTTATGCTAGAATCTGGCGTCACAAAAGGCTTTGAAGCAAGCTCCATGTAATTGTAGAAGAAAGACTCTGATATTTTCTTCTTAACTTCCTCTTCTGCCTCTTCTGCAGCTGGGGCAGGGAGTTCCTGAGATGCTAAAACATTAAAAAAATATTGACTAAGAAGGCTGTCTGATGAATCCTAAAATTGTATATCCCAAAGACAGAAGGAATAGACATACCACACAATATACTAGCAGTCAATATTACTATCAATCCAACTATGAGAAGCTACCTATTAATGCATAGGAGAAAAAGCCAATGTGTTCATATGCTTCAGAGGTGACATGCTACTCTCTGGTCATGATTTCAACAGTCTCAAAGAGCAATTCCTAATTAGTTGCAAGGAAGAGTTGGAGAACTAACCTGGGGTAGAACACTCCTTAGATCATCTCAATTCCCAGAAAATCAGGTATGAGGGTCCAACATGTGATCCTCAGAAACAGAAGCTACAACCCTAAAGCTGCTAAGACATCCTCCTGTACTACGTACAACGGTTTTCCTTTCAATCATCCACACATATATCCATATCTTGCCAATTTTTCTTTCTCTGGATTTGTAATTGTTCAATTTGTCTCATCAAAATGGTGATAGAAAGCTATCAATACTTACTTCTAGTGCTTTCTGAATGGTCATAATCAGATGAACCTGAACTTTCTCCCACATCTTCCAGATCTGAACTTTCTTCCTCTAGATATGACTCTTCCCTTTCAGTAATTGTTTCATCTGTGGTATCTTCTAAAACTTCTTTTGTATGAGCTATTAAACATAATCTGTTTTTATAATTTTTAAATTTTGAATTAAACATTTTCTTATTTCCAAGGTAGCTAAATTTCCAATTCATTTATGCTCTAAATTTTCATGTTCAGAAATTCTTGGGAGAATCACTTTATTTGATCAGTCTTATAATTTCTCCATTTTAACTTCATTTCCAGCCTATTTCTTATCATTACATATTTATGTACAAGAAAGTAAAAGAAAAGGGAAAAAAGTGGTCAGTATGTTGCTATCATAATTTCAATTCCATTGGATTTTGCTAATATTTATAGAGGACCTGTTATGTTAAAGACAATGCTATTCTATTCGAGAGTAATTTTCCACGAGTGTGATTATTTTTCTCTGAAGTTATATCACAGGAATAATTTAGAATACTGGTTTCAAGAGAAACTAAAATGAAAGACAATTATGATGGGACTAGAAGCGGTCCCAGGTATAACCCAACTTCAGATTGAATCCAAATGTGGGCATGGTTAGATACACAATTTGAGCAGGTGAAAGGACTGGGGGCACTCTCAGAAGAACAAGATACCACCACATCAAAAAACAAAACCAGGGCCAGGGATTTAGCTCAGCGGTTCTGCTGCCTGCCTCTCAAGCGGAATGACCTGAGTTCAATCCCCAGTACCAAAAAAAAAAAAAAAAAGAAAAGAAAAATCAGGGCCGCGGATTTAGCTCAGTGAAAAAAAAAAAAAAGAAAAGAAAAATCAGGGCCGCGGATTTAGCTCAGTGGTTTCGCAGCCTGCTGGGAGTGCGCAAGGACCCGAGTTCGATCCCCGGTACCAAAAAAAAAACAAACAAAAAAAACAGGCTGGCATTTTCATCTTATGTTCTAAGATTTTATATGTGAGTTTCTTCCACTTGTTCTTCTCTCTGGCCAATGAAAATAGGAAGCCGCAGGGCCTGTCTGCAGATACCACAGAAACAGACTGTCTTCAGCAAAACCAGTTTGCACCTGTGATTCGCAGCTTACCCTCATCTTCTCTGTGGGATTGGGAGCACAACAGGGAAGCCTACAAATTATATGATCAACATGGTTACGCATCCAACAATATACGGATATTAACAGTAGGGACTTCTTTTGGCTACTAGGCAGTAACTGGTACTCAACTGCTCTCTTATGATTATGGAATCTTTTAGTTTTTCTTTAATTCTATTTATTTTTGCTTCATATATTGTGATGATCGGTTATTAGATGTGTACATATTTATGACTGTTATGTCTTTCTAATAAACTGATCCATTTCTCATTATGAAATGCCCCTCTTTGTCACTGGCAATACTCGCTGCCTCAATCTATGTTATCTCTTATCTTACAGCCACTCAGCCTTCTTATGCTTACTATATGTATGATCAACCTCTTCACACACCAGGTTAGAGGTGTTCAGAATGCCAGCAAATCACTTTACATTATCAACTAGGGTCCTAATACCCATGAGATATGCATTAATTAATGAGCTGAGCACAGATCCAGGCCACACTTGGTAAGATCTTTGTCCAAGAGAGTCTGACATAAGAAAGTAAGGTCCTGAGGCAGTGTGAACCAAAGTGCAATAATCATTAAGTCCATTCATGGAAAGTGGAGAGCAGCACCCAAGAAATCTCTGCCAAGAACTAGAAGCCAAAAAATGGTGTGTCAGAAAAGTAAAGTAAAAATGGAAAAATAAAGGCAGGGGGAAACCTATAGTTTTTTAGGCAAGTGATATAATCATAATTTGTTTAAAAAGGTAACTCTAGGGCCAGGGATTTAGCTCAGTGGTTCTGCCGCCTGCCTCTCAAGCACAAGGTCCCGAGTTCGATCTCCGGTACCAAAAAAAAAAAGCTAAAAAGGTAATTCTAATAGTGGCGTAGAGATCCAGAGAGGAAGACTTAAGTAGAAAACCTTATAAAAGTTCAAGGAAGAGAAGATAAATGCCTAAAATAAAACACAATGTGAAAAATTATGTATTTACAAGACATGTTTGAGACAGATTAAAAGAATTTAATGCAAACTTTATATTGATGCAAATGTAAACTGATTTTTCCCAGGACCTAATCTCTGGGTAAAAAGTCAGAATTAAACTTCTGAAACTATATTTTAGATCAGAATCTGAAAAAAAGTCAAGATTCCACTAAGAGATCTACCACTATGGTGGCCAGTCAGAAAGAACCAGCCACCCTTTTAAAAAGTCCTAGTTACAAAATTCCTCACTTCTCTTATTTATAGTCTGTGAAGTCCTTCTACATGTAACCCAGTGTAATTCCCAAACAATTCACAATTGTCACTTAAGAGGATAAGAAAATTGAGGCTGAGCAAAGTGCAATAATTTCTCCAAGGTCAATTATTATTAAATGGTAGATCCAGTGCTCAAAACCAAAGTCCAGCTCTTTCCACTAAAATATATCAGAAAAGTCCATTAGAATCCTATGGGGCAGGTTGTAGCTCAGTTGGCAGAGCATTTGCCTTGTACTTAAGAGGGCCTGGGTTCAATTCTTGGTACCACAGGAGAAAAAAACATAGAGAAAACCTAGATCAGATCTGAGGATAGATCTTTATCAATATAGAGAGCATAGTAAATTCTAGTTGCCAGTTGGAGATAAACAATTAAAGCATAGACTCTGCTCTTAAGCAACCTAGAATTTTGTAAGAAAATTAAACAAGTAAACTGTTTCTGTTCTATAAATTCTGATATGCACACTTTAAAATTATATTATCTGACTTTAATAATAAAGTATAGAGTATCACCTTTACTTACATTTTGATTCAGACTTAGAAGACTGCCTCCCATCACTCTTTGATTGGTCTGATTTCCCCCCATCAGTATCCTGATCATCTGGTTCTTTCATGTCTTCTGTATGTGAAAAAGTGAGATAGAGGAGAATGCTGTAAAATAGATATTAACAGCCCCCCTCCCAACAAATTTCACATGCACCAAACACCCACGTGTGTTGCTAAAGTTATGTTTGCATGGTATCCAAGGTGACCCAACAGCAGGAGGGTGCAGTCACCAACAAGGCTTCTGCAAAACACATTATAATCCCAGCCTCATTGTCAAGGCAAACTTGGCACTGTGGTGCACTCTGGTTTCCCAGAGATCCACAGTGAAACACACCACCCAAGTCTATCTTTCTCCCAAAAGTTCAACCACTAAAATTAAACTCTGCCATCCATCCTTTGGTTTATTCCTCCCTCTTTCTCTTCCCATTATCAAATTTACCTGGTGTTACTAATCAATTTATATTTTAAAAAATCTGTGGAGCACATCTATTAGGTAACAAGTTTATGTTAGGCACTAAATTACCATACTGAATAAGAGAGATATGGCTCCAAACTTTATGGAATATATATATTCTACAAAACTAAAAAATAATGTATAGCAACACTACAAGTTATGTTTGGGTTTTAGGAAAGAGGTGTTTGAGACACACATGACAATTTGGAGATAGGCAGACATAGAATGGGAAAAGTAAGGTAGGCCTGGTGGCGCCCACCTGAAATTACACCACTATGGAAGGCTGAGGCACGAGAATCCCTAGTTTGAGATCAGTCTGGGCAACTTAGCAATTTAGCAAAATCCTGTTTAAAAAAAGAAAAAAGATGAGGATGTAGCTCAGTGCAAAAGCTCTGAATTCAATCTTCATTGCCCCCCCCACCAAATAAAAAGAATGAATCTACTGATGAATATAGCAACTCTATAACCCAGTCACCTTCATAACACCATGGAAGAGTTTTAAAGCGGGACTGATGTAACAGGTTTTCTCTTCCAGTCTCTATACTGCAGCTCTTTCTGTCCTTACTTGAAAGCATCAATTATATCATCCTCCTAAGTCTTCGCTTCTCCACATTAAACATACCATGTTCATGCTACATTCTTCTATAGCATGATTAGCACACAGAATAGAATAATAGTTTCATCTGAATCAGATTTGTGGTTAGATTCAGGATTGAATCCCAGTATCACCACATAACTAGTTAATTAATCTGTATATAAGTTCCTCATTGGTAATGAACAAAAACCACAATGCTGCTAAGACAATTAATGAACCAGTATTGCATTGTAATTTCTGAATTGTTGTCTCTGAAGATAGGCCAGTGTGCCAAAAGCAGATATGATGCATATACAGCATGATGTGATCAGTGCAGCATGTAACTCCTTCAGCTGGGCGTTAGAGCTCTTTCCATCTATTTTCTTACAGTGACATTATAATGATGTCTTCTCTTGATTTGTTGGGCAGTAGTACCTTGCTAACTGTTCTTCCTATAAACATGCTCAAGAAATACGTGCCCTAACATGATGCCCTTGACACTAAGTTTTGTTTATAGTACCCGGAGCCATTTTCTCTGTTACAAAGATAATATTTTACCTTTAAAATAAAAGTGTGTGGCTGGAGATTTAGCTCAGTGGTTTCACCGCCTGCTGCACAAGTGCAAGGACCCAAGGATCCAAGTTCGATCCCTGGTACCAAAAAAACCCCAAAAACAAAACAAATAAAATTGTGTGTGCTTCCTTTTTCTAGTTGTCCCTTTCTTTCCATTCTTTTCTTCTTCCTTCCCTTATCCCCTTATCCCCACCCCCCTGCAAGGCTTAGGGGTAGGAGAAGAAACCAAAGGACAGAAAATTTTTAGTAGCAAGATCTTTGAAAATCCAAATTCTATCATTCAGTCTATTTCCTATTCCTTCCATTTTTGGAAACAGAGACCTTCTTTTTATGCTTATAGTAATCAATTTTAAAAGATAGAACTGCAGAAGACAATGTTGATTTTTGCAGGGCTTAGATGCAAATTACCACACACCATGAATAAAATTGTCCAGATAACTATAAACATACCTAAATGCTATTTTCTCTCTTGATTTCAAGGTTCTTCATAATTTAAGTCAATTCAGTTCTTAAAACTATTGAGTACATTTATATACAAACTATATTATACCCTGCAAAAGATGAGTAATATGTAACCTCTGGCTTTTGTATTTCAAGAAGAAATTGGCAAGTCTTTCAATATAACCCCCAAATAAACTTTTCTTCTATGTCAAGGATTCAGATTCATCTGAGGTTGAGCAGAACACTAGAATGGTCTAAGAGTCATTTAAATGGTTTTGGCTTTTGATAATAGCCATTTTAGCTGGGATGATGTGCCAGTTAACCATAACTGTCTGCTCGACTGGATGAAGAGACTCCTGGAGAGATGAGTGCATCTTGGAGGTATCATGTGCTAAATAGCTGAATAAACTATCAGGAAGTGGGGTGCAGTTGGCAGAGGTGGGTCATTGGGTATTATGGTTTGGATCTGAAATGTCCCCTAACAGTCTCATGCATTTGGAAGGTGATTGGGGGACACGATATACATCAGTGGATCTGTCCACCGATGAATTCAGTAGCTGAATGTAGTATTAGAAGGTGGGGTCTGGTGGGAGGAGGGTCACTGGGGCCATAACCTGAAAAGGTGCATTCTTGTTCCTGACTCCTCCTCCCCAGCTTCCTGGGTGCCATGGGTTGAGCAGTTTTTCTCCACCATGCCCTTCTGCCCTGCCATTTCTCTCTGAGAGCCAGTTAACTATGGACTAAAATTGTAAAACAAAATAAATCTCTCCTCCTCTACATTGTGGGTGTCAGGTATTCTGTCCCAGCAATGGGAAAGTAACTAATACACTGGTGGCATACCTTCAGAGAGCATAGCTCCTCACTGGCACTCTTCCCCAGTATTCTGTCTGCTTCCCAGCTGCCATAAAGTGAGCACTTTTGCTCCATTCTGCCTTTCCACCATTATGCCTGCCAGCTGACCATGGACTGAAACCTCTGAAGCCATGAGCCAAATTAAATCTCTCCTCACTTCAAATTTTGGGTGTCATGTACTATGTCCCAGAGCAACAGGAAAGCTAACAAAATGTATCAGATGACAATAGCTACTGATTTCTTTGATTAAAATGAACACTTAAGATATTGGAAGGAAACTAAACTACTTTCTAAAATGCCATGGTACAGACCCCAATTAAGTGAAGTGAGGTGGTTGCTGGATTTGCTGACAAAACTGAAGTGATATTCTGTCGCTCCTAATCATCTGAAAACTAAATTAAAAGTTTTAATCTGTGAGTTTTAGTAATACTCTACACTGTAAATAGTTAATGGTTTGGTTTTTTTTTTGGTACCGGGGATCGAACTCGGGTCTCTGTGCTTGTGCAGCAGGCAGCGAAACCACTGAGCTAAATCCCCGACCCCAATAGTTAATGTTTTAGTTTTATATTGCTCTTATACAAATTACCACAAGTTTAGCAGCCTAAGTAACACCCCATGTATTATCTCAGTTTTGTAAGTAAAAGTCCAGGTCCAGGTCAGCTGCTCTTTTCCTAGAGTCTCAAAATATTGGAATCAGGTGTTGGCAGTGCTACCTTCATTTCTGGAGGCTCTGAGGAAAAATCTCTTTCTGGGATAATTTAGGCTGCTGGTAGATTTCAGTTCTGTGTGGGTATAGGACTGAGAGCCATGTCTTTTTGCTGGCTGTTGTCCAAGAGTCCTCCTATCCTTTGAGAGGCTACCTGCATTCCCTGGCTTATGGTCCTCTTTAAAGCCAAGAGTTGGATGGGCCAAATATCTCTCAGTGGTGTGAAACTCATAGGTTTCCTTCCTGCTTGTCTCCAATCAAAAGTTCCATGAGATCACTTTCTACCTCTTAACCTTTTATTAATAAATACATTTACTTTAACATCCTATAACTGAATACAATCTAAATACAAAGTCTAATAAAAGCAGCCCATAAGACCTCATGAATTCATTCATAAGATAATCATAAGGTGGGTAAAAAAAATTATGGTTAAGCACTCCATAAACAAAGGAGTTGAACCACAACAAAATCTAACTTGATGTCAAGAAAAAAGCACCACACTTTAATGTTTGCTAAAATAAATAATTCATTTCTCCAGTGGTTAATGCTACCATGCAATAAACTTCAATATCACAAACCAGTTAATGTCAGGGTGTGTATGGTGTGCAGGAAATTACTGGAACCCAAAGAATTTGCCCAGTGTTCTGAAATGGCAATCCTGCACAATAAATACTGAGATCTACTATTTTATTAGCTTTTCTGGGTCATAAAGAGTGACTGAAGAATCTGTAAAAGGCAGTGGAGCAGATCAGGGGTAAGAGGCTCCTGCACTCCTGGAGATTAGTGGTAGAACTAATGATTTTTGCTTTTGTTTTGATGATGTTGTTTAGATCAATGAGACTGGGAAATTCGATTATAATCTGGCAAAGCTTTGGAACCAAAGAGACTTGGCTTGACCTCCCAGCTTGCCCAAGGCATAAATTTCTTAACGTCTTAGTCCTTTTATATGTGAAATGGGGGTGATACTGCTGTCTGGTACAGCAGTTGTAAAGAATAAATGAGCTCTTATATCTGTAGTTTTCAACTCTGACTGCACTTTAGAATCACTTGGAAATTTTTTAAAAATATCATTAACACAGTCTCACTCCCCTGGCAATTCTTTTGTGTAGCCATGCATAAGAACTAAAGCTAAGAATCATGGATTTATATGAAAAACCTAGTAGATACTCAAGTTGTTTTTACTATTACTACCCGATAATTCTTTTTAATATGGGGCAGGCTCAATAAATATGACCAGAAGCTGGCTACGGTAATGTGTTCTTCAAGTCCCAGCTATTTGGGAGGCTGAAATAGGACAATCCCTTGAGTCCAGTTCAAGACCTGCCTGCATAACACGCGGAGACTCCATCTTTAAATAAATAAATAATCTTCAAAGTTGAAGTTTTGTTTAGTTCAGCCTCCCACAAAATGCAGGCTACACATTCACAACATCTAGCCCAGCACCGTTACAAAAGCAGTTTAGTGTCGGGAGCAATGCTACATAATTTTAGGGAAAAGTCATTTGATTAAGCCTAATTCTCCTGCCTATAGGCCAGCTATGGCCTATGCTCTCCTGCTGCCAGGCCGTCTTCTGCCTCCCTGGGTCAGACTATGAGTCTTGGCAGGCAGAAACTGTGACTACAGTGACTATCCTATATTAGTTGCCTGGAACATTTGTTCGACTACCTTAGGGAGGACGAAGATACATGTTTCAGCAAAACCTGGAAAATACTTGTTCGTTCAGCTCAAAGTCCTAGCGGGCTCCACTGGTGGGTCACTAACAGATTTAAGAGGGAGGGCCCAGGCGCAGGAGCCCAAACTTACCTACCAAAGACTCCCACTACCGCCCGCTGCCTGTATTCAGAGAACCTGTAGTTTATCGCGGTTACCACGGCAACGACAACCCCCCTCCCAGGAGGGCGGAGATGAGCCGGGCAGTGAAGCGCATGCGCGGCTCAGCACCAGACTTAAGTGAGTTTGCGCAAGGATCTGGACGCTCAGTCCAATTGGCCCCTCACGGAAGCGAGTCCTCCCACGTCGGTTCCGGGCCAAACGTTCCGGTTGAATAAGTCCAGCCAGTTCATCCGCTAAAGATGCCATGTTGATAGTTAAATGACATTTGAATACTTGGCGAAAATACGTACTTGCCTTCCAAAGTGGCGTAGAGCGGTCCTAATCGAAGCAGCGGTCTTGCAGGTGGAAGTTTTAACTCGGAATCTAAAGCTCCTAGGCAAGTATCATTTTTCAATGACAAAAATTGTAAGGACGGGGGCGGGGGTGGGTGGGTTGCGGTTCTGGTGACAGAAAGTAGCGGGCCAGCAGCATCAACTGCACAAAGATAAATCCCGGGGTAGGATCTGGGGGAGAGGTAGTGGGTTTTTGCTGTTGTTTGGTTGGTTGGCTGTTTGGTTTTAAACTTTTATTATCTGTCAGCTTTTAAAGCGTAAATAAGGTTGTAGGTTCTGGGCTTCTATGTTGCAGGGATGCTGGGTGCATACAAAATACAAGCTCAGCCCTCAGGGTCATTTGGAATTTAAAAGCTCCCCAAGCTTGACAATAATAGATTTTGAAGATTAAAGCAATGGGGGGAGAGGGGATAAGGGATAATCAATTGAAAAACCTGAAGGAAAATGCGTCTCAGAATGCACTAGCAAAACAAGGAGGTAACTTGACATTTTGATAATGAGTAAGACTAAAATGGTTTATATCATAGGGATAGAATTTATTAAATACCAAGTTTCAAAAGGTAAAAATGTACAATATGGATGGAAATTCAAAGATGACAACATAAATAAAATCAGCAGTACTAGAAAATTATTTTTGCCACAAAATACAAAAGCCAAAAAGTAAGTTACATAAGGCACTTCCTAGAACAGTGATTTACAACTCCAAACGGCAGGACAGTGGTGTCCAAGAAGAGTCCCCAGGTGGGAGCCAACATTTAAGAACCAAGCAGGTGCCTGAAAGAAAAACCTATCCTTGCAATCTGCTTAGATTCTGAACTGAGAAAATTGATGGCAATTTTCTGTATTTATGTAATTGTTTCAAACACAACTATACCATTAAGTCAGTTACTACATTTAGACATCTGAGTTCTATGATCATTATTTATTTGATGTACATTATCATTATTGATATTTTCACATTTAAAAACTAAATTAAGATTCTTAGAATTTATACAATCATTCTTAACTCCCTAAGCAAATATAAACATTCCCACACTCAATTTTCAAAGCCATACATTCTCCTTGGAAAAGGTGACAGACAGCAGTAATTTCCCACCAAAGAAGAACCAGATATGTTACATTTTTCTGAAAACCAGACTAATCACACAGAGGCATTTCAGTGCAAGTATATGCAAAACAACTTTGTCCTTCAGGAAAAAAAAAAAATTAAATACATCAACATTTAAGACGTATTGAATTAAAAAACCAGAATAAAGGTGGTGAAGATTAAAATGTATTACTTTTTTTTTAAACCTTAAAATATTTTAGGAATTATTAGAATATAAAACTTTAATTCCTCTACAGTCAAATTTTATTCACAGGGAATTATAAGGACGGTTGGTTGTTGAAAATCTATTTGAAAATAAAAAATAAAATAATTTTTTTTCTCTGTTCCATTAGTATTAATTCACAGGATCTTTGTAGGTTTTATCTGAAGGAGTAAAAACTTGAAACCAGAGCACGAAAAAGGGAGTGGAAAGTCAACAAACTCTATAAAAGGTGACTTCAACTTCACTTATGACATGTGGGTAGAAAGAGCAAACCAGCCTTCATTTTGTTTTTCAGTCTGCTGAATAAAGAGACAGAAAGGATTTAGAAGATAACCAGAAACATGAAACCACTCAACATTTACAGATCATTTATACAAAGTATACAATGAAGTCATCTTGTGTCACTGAATGGTAGAGGTAATGTTTCTTCTCTAACAGAGACAGTACCAAATAACTGATTACCTACTCAACAGATCCCCTTACTGATCAGAGTCCTACTTTCTTTTAAAAAGGATAAATAAAAAAAAATTAAAAATTAATAAATAAAAAGGATAAATTCAGTGGTTTAAAGGTACAACTTGTTTAAATGATAAAAAGAAATTATTTGATTTTAGTAAATTAAATGCTACTAAGTGCCTGGAACGAAGGGTAAATTATATAAAATAGCTAATGTGAAAGCCTTTTTAGAATATAAGAAACAGCAAAGGACAAATCTGGTTCTAGGCAAATGGGAAGAGCTAAATCTCTCATTTGGGCTATAAGCAGCCACCCTTTGATCGAATTACTATAGTTAGTAGTAGACTAGCAAAGATTCCCCCACATCAGACAGGTGTTGGTTTGGACCTGCAAAAGTAGTTTCTACGATTTTAAAGATATTCTCACAATTTCCCATGACAAAACACTGAAAAGAACTGTATTTTACCAAAAAATAAATAAAAATGCCTTCTGCAAACATTTTGGATACACCATGAAATGCTTAGTTTCTCTACATTCTTGTAACAATATAACATATAATAGTAACACGAAGAATTCATAAGAGATTTGTTTACCCTTTGTGCCATAACCTGGCACACTGATAAAATTCCTGGACCTCAGGCTCTGGTTGTCCCACACTCTACCCAGTCACAGAAAGGATGGGGAAAACACCATCCCAGTACACCCACAACCCATTCAAGGGCCATTCGTTGTGTGTCCTGCCACAATATTTGGAAAACCCTGCCTGAAACCAGTAATTTCCAGTCTTAAAAGACTGTTAAAATCCTATTGAATTTTACCTTATTCTTTATTTACTCTAGAAAATAGAAGTATATGACTTGTTTTTTCTAATGAAGGTAAATTATAGTATTTTTGTGAGGATTTTATGTCATCTTCAGGATAATAGCCAATAATAGCTACGAATGGAAAACACTAAAATCAGTCAGCTTCTACCCTCACCCTCACCCTCGTGACCCCTGCACATATTTCACAGTTACATTTATAATGTACCTTTGTTCTTGGATTAACAGCTGTGAATCGTCCACTTCTTGAGGTGGCATTTAAAGGAGAACAAGAATTACTAGTAGCCCCTGAAGATCTATTTGTGAGAATAAAAAACTAATATTAGCCTTCACAAATTATGCAAGCAATGACAATTCTTAATACTGGCAAAAGCTTAAAGAAGAATGGCTTAGATCCAAATTAGGAAAATTATTTGAACCACAATTTCATCCACCTACAACTCTTAACTTTTTAAAAAAACTAATTTATTTTTTAGAGCAGTTTTGGGCTTACAGAAAGACTAAGTGGAAAGTACAGACACTTCTCACGTCCCCGTACCTCTACCTTAACAGTTTCCCCAATTAACGTCTTGTATTAGTGTGGCACATCTGTTATAAGTGATGATCCAGTATCAATAAATTAACCAAAGTTCATGCTTTACATTAGGGTTCATTCTTTATGTGATACATTCTATGGATTGTGACAGATGTTCCCACCATTACGGTATCATACAGAGAAGTTTCTGACATTAAAGGGGAAAATGGGTAAGCAGTGGTGGGCAAGAAGGTCAGGACAGTAGAAGAATAATGAGAACTGGAGCAGTGCAGTACATGTGAGGATGCAGAGTAATCACAGAAAAGCCAGGTACATCTTTAATGTCACCACTCGCCAACCATGTGATCCCTTTGGCAAATCACTCAGCTTATAAGCTTCAGTTTCACTTACTGTAGAGGAATACTACCAGCCAATTTACCCATCTTGTCATATATTACCTCCTAATTTTGTAACTCATAGATTCTACAATAGGTGGTTAACCCATTTTGTTTTCAGTAGCCAACTCATCATTTTCTACTTAACCTTTTTCTTCTTACTGCCCCCCAAATTCTCCTCTCCAATTATTTTCTCTTTGTGAGTCTTTCTGAACATAAGTTAGATGTTATGGACACCCTTTTATCACAAAGAGAATGAAACACACACCACACTCTTGATTTGTAAAGACACTGCTCACACTGTAGCCCTACCTTCTTGTATTTGCCCCCCCAACAGGAGAGACAATATTATTGCCTTTGGAGCTTTCTGGGGCTTCTGCTCCTGGAATACATACGTCAATGGTCCTCTTTCCTCCTTCTAAAATATGAAAAAATAAAGTTTCATTACCCATCAATAGGATAAAAAAATTTTGTTCAGTTTCAATCTTATTTTACAAAGGTGGAGTCCTTTCAAAATTATTATTATCATTATGGCTCAAACTCATTTGCAAGATTTTTTGAAAAATGAACTGTGGGACAAGAAACTTTAGTTGCTAGTGTCAATTCAGTAGCATTCCAGTTCATAGAAAACCAGAATCTTCAGACAGTGCTATCATGTCAGATCTGGAAGTGAAAAACGGAAGTTAAGAGATTGCCCTATAGAATTTGATATCTTTGTCCAAAAAAAGATATTTAAAGTTTAAAAGAAAGGGAAAAGGGGATAAATTTCTGAAGAAATTTAATAAAACCTTCAGTCTTTCAAATTTATTACATTATTGTTATTACTGAAGTCACTAACATAAGAGGAGAAAGTTGAAGAACTCATATGGCCAAAAGTGAGTATAATTATATATATTTTAAATATTTCAAAAGTAATCAACAAATATTCACTAAGTATTTACTAATGAAAGACTTAATATCCATCCTTGGAATTTCACAGAGGCCCCCATGAATCATTGCTTAAAACCAGTGATTTCTTAAGCTGGGCATGGTGGTACACGCCTGTGATCGTAGCACTCAGGAGGCTGAGGAAGGAGGATTGCTGTGAGTTTGAGGGCAGGCTGGGCTACACAGTGAGTTCGAGGTCAGCCTGAACTACATAGTGAGACCCTGTCTCAAAACAACAAAACACACTGCTTGCCTCGCAAGCACAAGTTCCCGAGTTCAATCTCCCATACCAAAAAAAAACAAAAACCAACAACAAAAAAACCCCACTAGTGATTTCCTGGCTTTAAGGAAATTTAAATCCCATTTAATTTTATAAAATATTCCTCAGTTACCCTAGAAAACTAAAAAGGGTTTTTCATGTACATGATTTACCCTTATTTTTATCATCATTGCTCAGAGGCTCCTCCTATGAAACCAAAAGTTTTACGTAAAAAAGAATACCTTAAGACACAGAGCCCCCAGAATGGGAAGAACACACATGTAAAACCACAACTTCCTTTGGTATATGTGCTGCCGAAGCAAGCATGACGTCTTGCTTTGAATTTCAGAAAAGCACTTAACCTTTCTGTGCCTTGGCTTACTTACTATCAAATAGGTATATAATTTAAACCCTGTCTACTCTTAGGATATGTTGAATTCTAAATGAAATAATATAAATAAAAGCATTTGTTAACCTTATAGAATTACTCAGGCAAAAATTATATTTAATCACAAAATTATTCTTAACAGTGAGCTGCTTAATGTTTTTTCACTGCACTTAGCACTAACTGACATTATCTCATATATATATCTCATATATTTGGTGTTTGTTGTCTGGTCCCCAACATGAACGCTGGAGTACTCAAGAGGATATATGGCAGGCACATGGTAGTGTTCATATTTGAGTGATTTAATGTATTTATCCAAATCAGAATTTGCTCTAGACTTCATGACTATGAAGAACAGTAGACAAAGCTGTCATGTAAGGAACCCTAGACTAAACACTGAGGAAGGTCATTAGGGGAAATCTTTTCTCAATCATTTATCCAGTGATTTCCAGGAGTCTGCTTTCTGGGTAAATAATTTCAAAAATGAAATAATTCCCAACAGGTAAAAACTCTCACTGGCAGATTAAAGTAATCTTCACTTCAGCCAGCACACAACAAATGAGTCCCTCTAAAACACCAATGTTTAAAAACCTCAGGGAATACATCACTGACACAACTAGAAGCTTCTCTTATCCTGGGTCCAAATCAGTCTCTAAACTCTTCAAGCAGCTCTATCCCTTGAGTCTTAACCAATTTCAGGCTAAAAACCAGCTTGAGATTTACTTCCATTTCATGAGTATCTTTTTAAATGTGAATACATGATGACAAATTTTTCAACTACCATTTTATTATTTAGAAGCCCTTCTAGCTTTTCACATTCCTAAATATAACAAGAGACCAGAAAATTAAATTAAAATGTTATCATTTTAACAATAATTTGTAATTTGATGTTAATGAAATTCTGAATTATAATTTTGAGGCTTATATTTTATGTCCTATGTGAATCATATACCATAATGAATCTCATAAAGGCAACTTAGGAACTAAGACACCAAGATTAGCTGTAGGCTTCACATGATAGAATCAGGAGATATGCCTTCCAGTCCTGTTTATTCAGTGATACAAGGCTACTTCTTTTGATGTAAAATTGAAGACACTAGCTCTGGGTCTTCTTTTGACTCATAATGAACTTGCAAAATTTAGAAAGTGAAAACCTTCATATTTCTAGTTTTTAAATCATGAATTTGTGACCAACCGGTCCATGCTCTGAGAGGCGACTGAACAGGCGACACTGGTGGAGAGGAGAGATTCAAGCCAACAAGTTTCTGTTGCTCTAGCAACTGTAATAGTTTTTCACGAGCCTCCATACTCTGTCGATTCAACTCTGCAATCCGTTCCTCCACGCTGCTTGGTGCTACAGACTGTGCGACTGGAAACGTCTTTGGAGGGGAAAAGGGCAAAAATTAAATATTGGGAAAAACACCACCCAATTTTGCCTTTTCTACTAGATGCCAGGAAATTCGTAGTCACAGCCCTTGTTATAAACAAATGGGAATAGTGGACAAACAAAAGAACTTACAAATCGTTTAACTGAAGAATTAGGGCTAAAGTAAATGGACACTAATTCTTCTGCTGTTGCCCCACACTGTGGCTTTGACCAAGCACACAGTGTGTGGGACAAGGCTTTCCCCACATTGCTCAGCATTTGCAGAGCTGTACAAAAGAGCTCAGGAGCAAAGAGATGACTTCTACTGGCCAAATGCCACAGACTTACTGGTGACAGATGTGTAACTGGACAGATTACAAAGAAGGATCTGCTGTATTTGAAACAGATATTTCCATAGTTACAATCTTCAAACAGGCACCGTGAGTTATTTGGCAAAGATTCTGAGAACCCCATCACATGTCAGCCTCTCCGGGCCACATTTAGCCTAAGATAATCTTATTAAAAAATAGTTGCAATTGAAGAGGAATATGAGATGTAACAGTAAAAAATAGCTGCCCCTGGAACATGTTTAATTTGAAAAATCCCCAAGACAAATGTATTTATGTTAATCCCAATAATTTCATTTAGTTAAATATGTCCCTTTGGGGAAATAAAAAACTAATCCCTAACAGAAATTACTAATTTGTAGCTTATAGTTATTAGTTTTTTAAAAGAAGCAAAACAATATGAATTAAAGATCATTCTATATTTTCAATTAAAACAAGAGGATGGTGAGGACAGAAATACTAGATTGTCCTTTCTAGACTGATGCATATACTAATTAGAAAAGGACATAAGCTTAACATTTAACTGTGTTGTCTTTTTTTTAATCTAAGAGATGCCTGTTTCAAATAATCTTCAAAACTGCAAAATAACTGTCTCCCAGTGACTCAAAACTCAGGCAGTTCATACTTAACAGCTATGCCGACAGCTGCTGCCAAATCCCAATAATTCTTCCTGGGTCCTCCTCTGCTGGTCCCTCTAACTACTATTTCTGTGACTCAGTACCACCTTGTCTTTATTCTCTATGAGCCAGTGATAACAGGGGGCTCCTACCCCTAACACCCCCAGAGTTCCCTCACCGAAACCCTGATTCATGATTTCGACAGCTCTTACGGACACAGCTCCAAGTGAGCCTAATCCAAGGAGAGGCTCCCCAGCTCCTTCCCACACGGAATACTCTCCTGTTTTCTGTCAGGACCCTCACAGGAGCTACCTTAGCTCAAGGGTACAAAAGAAAGTGTCCCCTATCACTAGAATCTGCATGAGTAGGTATTAAAAGCAATCCCATTTGGAACCTGGAATCCCTTTTCTCCTCACAACGAAATGAAGGTTTAAGTTACTAGGTTAGCCCACAAAGTTTATTTAACTTATAAAATTCCTGCATGGTAATATGCAGATTTTTGCTACTTAAAATGTGGCCCTCAGACCAGTAGCACTGGCATCATTTGAGAACTTAGTAGAAATGCACAGGTCCGGCCCAAGACTTAGAAGCCATGTTTTGGCAAGATCCTCCTCAGATGATTTGTATGTTCTTTAAATTCTGGCTTTAATGATCCTTTCTGAAGAATTGTTTCTATAGGAAAATGCATTTTGTGTTCTAAAAAATTAACTGTTCATGAGTTAAGGGCCAACTGTTCTTGTAGGAGCCACATTTAAGGGTAAAAATACATTCAACTAAAATGTAGTTGTTATAAGGCAAACTTTGAAGGCATGTTAATTCTATGCAGTTTACTTGAAACTTCATTCCTAACTTAATCTTAGTTTTCCTACACACATTATCTTAGTTCTATTTTCTTTTTTTTCTTCTTTCGGTACCAGCGGTCAAACTCAGGACCCTGTGCTTGTGAGGCAGGCACGGCGCCACTGACCTAATCCCCAGCCCTCTTAATCCTGTTTTCTTAATTCATGTATTTTTTTTTCTTTCATGTTATCTCCTTTTACTGTATATGCAATATAAACTAATAAATAACTTTTACCTATCTCGGTGATGAAGACATGCCAAAGCATAAGGCCTTTAGTGGGAGCCTCAAAGCTATCACTTCTGCAAAGACATCTCTTCAGATGCCTAAGCTTAAATTCTTGTATGTCCCTAGCTGATCCTTAACTGGTACTCACAGCAGTCATATCACTGGCACGTTCCTGTTTGCTCAACTCTTGCAGTCCATCCCCTTGCTCTCCTCCTGATCCATTAATATTACTTAGATGTGCCTTGATGACTAAATTCTGCAGTGTCAACTCAGCAATTCGTGCCATGATGTCCTTTCCTTGTACTGATGCCTCGCTTGTTCTAAGCTGTTGCCCATCTCCCAGTACTGGGAGCTCTTCTGAGAATGCAGGATTTCTCGACTGTTGAACATTGGGATGGGAATTGCAGAGGGGCTGTGAGAGGTTAATGAAAGGTGCCTGGGTTTTGTTCTCTGCATCTTCTCCCATGTGGGAGACTGTCCACCTCTGAGTGAAGAGTCCATTCTCTTCACTTGAATTCTGAATATCTGTATCAGTAGGTAAGGTCTTCTTTTCCCAATTTTGTTCCTTCTCAATTATTTCCACAGTGGGAAGAATTCGTGGAGCAGGACAAGTTTGAACAGTCCTCCTCAATACTGCAGATTAATAAAAAAAAATGTATTATTTTCCATGTATTAAATTATCTCAGCACATCATGATAGTTAAGAGAAATATTTCAATAAAAGGGTTAGGCTTCTGAATGCCTAAATTATTTTCAGCAGGGACTGTACCAGCAATGCCACCCTTAACAATCAAGTACAGAGACTTTTTATATCCCTTAAAGCATTTATCAGTAATTTCTTGAAAAAGCATCTACTAAGTTCACACTTTAACACATCTAACATATCACACTTTAACATATCACACTTTAACATATCTGGGAAAAGTGGAGAAGGAAGATACCTAATTTACATTGTGAATGGCCGGGAAAGGCTTCTCTACAGAAGGAAATTTTTTTAAATGATTACACACATGTAGCAGAAAGTAGAGCAGAGGACATTATAGGTAGAGAGAACAACATGTATAAAGGGTCAAAAATAGGAAAGAGGTCAGTCAAGTTGTAACACAGCAATAAGGGTAGAAGTGGAAAAATATATATAGGATGGGAGAAGTGTGCAGTGGCCATTTCTGGCAAAGCCTTTGAGTTCATGTTAGAACTTTTGTAATTTAAGAGCAATGGAAACCCTAGAGAAGGTTTGCCAGTGACTCAATTTTTATTTATTAAATGCTCTAGACAAGTGGAAGGTAACAGAAATGGAAGTAGGGAATCTAGGAAGCAACTGCAGTAGTCTAGAAGAAATGAGTTATGAGCTTTGACTAAGGTATATTGGCAAAAAAGATGGAAAGCAGTTAATAAATTTTGAGAAATATTTTGGCAATAGAACTGAAAGTAATGAACTAGAAGGAAGGATGAGAGAAACACAGATCAAGATGGCATGAATCTTGAATGAGTGGATGGAGATGCCATTTACTGAGATGAAGACAAGAAAGATAGTCTTAAGGAAATGGAAATTATAAAGAATTCAGTTCTAGGAGGTAGGGAAGTAGCTCAGTGGTAGAGCACTTTCCTAGCATACATTAGGCCCCAGGTTTGAACACCAGAACCAAAAAAAAAAAAAAAAAAAAATCAGTTCTGAACATGCCATTTAGTATGTTTATGGTTCATCCATGTATCCATCCAAGTAAATAGTTGAAAACTCAGTATGTCTAGGCTAAGATAAAAAAACTGGAAGTCAATAGCATATAGAAGATGTTGGAAACCAAGAAAATGAATTAGGTTATCCAGAGAAAGAGAGAGTGAGAAAACAAACCAGCCCCAACCCATAAGGAACTTAACATTTAGAGTCTAATAAAGGAGGGGAAACTAGCAAAGCAGACTAAAATAGAGCAGCCAAAAAAATATTACATGAGTGTGGTATTAAGGAAACAGAGAAGGAGTTTAAGACCCTAGAAATTTAAGGACAGAAAAGAATACACTGGATTTAGTAACATGGAGTCCACTGGAGCCCTTAGAGAAAATGGTTTAGGTGAAATAACCTAATTGGGAGTAAAATGAGATGCAAGATGCTTTTATTTCAAGATTATTGACTGAACACAAATTTATATCACCCACTTTCACTGAGAGAAAGCAAGTATGCCCACATTGGTAAATACAATATTATGGGAGGATCATTTACAAATGAAATGTTTCAACAAGTTTCTAGTACACAAAGAGAGTATGGGAAGACAGTGTGAAAGAATGAAATTAAGCAAAAGCCACAATCCAGAACATATATAAATTACCAAAAGATGTAAGGTGAAAGCCAGTCTTTCTGGGACAACTCTGAAAAGGCTGCAGCCACAAAGCTCACAAGGACAGAGAAAAAAAGTGGGCTATAGGCATAGAAGCTAGGGAATTACCAGAAAGATTGTCTGCTATACAGTGATGCTAGTCAGGCTGTTACCACTTCCCTGGCCCATCCTCCTAAGGGGTTCAGGTGGAGTGGAGAGGTTGGAGACAGCCAGTGTGGTAGCCCCAAGTGAATGGCTAGATCCTACTCACATACTCTAAAAGGAAGCCTGCAGTTAGCATATCACGTCCATATTCACAAAGCAACTACAAAAGGGAAAGCATATTGAGAACACAAACCAAGACCTCTCCATATCACACAAAACTTATGCTAGCTATCTATAATACTGAAAACTTAGCCATTGTTCTTTTTTTAGTGTATATATTTATTTTTTATTAGTACCTATTTGTGGAACAAATTTTTTAACAATCCTTGGGGGGAATTGGTACATGAACATAACACATCTTAATTCTTTTTTTTAATCCCCTTTCCCTTCCCTCCCTTCCTCCTCCATTCTTCTCTTGATCCCCTTCCTTTTTTTATAAATTTAAATATATTTGGAGGATAAAGAATGACCAAACCAATAAAGGAAAATCAGCACAACAAAAGAAAAAAGCCAACACAAGTAAACAAAACAAGAAAAAAGAGAAATTCAGATACAAAGGAAAATGTAACAAAATTCTAACTGGTATCCTCAAAAGAGAGTTCCTGGAAGATAATGCATTTATAATACCATAAGAATCAGTGAAAAATAAGACAATAAGAAACAGCTTTGCTTGGAAATTTAAAATATGACTGATGAACTTTTTAAAAGAATTCAAAGACAGGCTTGAAGATAAAATGAAAAAAAAAATCAAATATAAAAGGAAGATGTAAGGCCGAATACTCCCAAAAGTCAATATACAATTTCCCAAAACTGATGAAAGTTACATGTTTACAGACTGAAAGGACCCACTAGTGCGCCACTGTGCAAACACACACACACACACACACACATCTCTACCTTGTGCAATTTCTGGATAAAAATAAAAGGATCCTTAAATCTTTAACAGAGAAAAAAAAAAAAAGACAGGCCAAATACAAGACAAGACATCAGACATCCAAAGGAATATTGGGTACTAGAAATCAACAGAAAAATGCCTTTAAGTTTTCAAGCAAAAAAGAACTATGGCCTACAATTCTTTATCTAGTCACAATATCAGCCACTTACAGAGAAAAGTAAAAATATTTTCAGATTTTCAAGAACTTAAACTCTGTCTTGTAAAAACCATTCCTGATCATTTCTGTCAGAAAACTTAAAGAGAAACAAAAAAAATAAGAAATGGGACCTAGGAAACAGCTGATCCAACCCAGAAGTCCCAGGATGAGAGCCATGCAGCAGTCCCAGAGAGCAATCAGTCAAGACTGGAAGAAGTCTGATGCGCTTTGGGAAAGCACCTCAGGATGAATGCAAATTCCACACCACAGATAGTAGGATTAATGAATTAAAGATATGTTGAAAGCAATTTGAAAGTCTAGGCAAAGGAAAATCTGAACAAGAAAGTCATACTATAAACATGGCACGCCAAAAGATTCCAAAAAACTGATGAAACTGGAATTTACTTTGACCTTTATAATAAGAGCTTTCTCCTTGGTTTAATGCACAAAGTTGTATTGCACAGACTTGTTTTAAGGATAATTAAATGCTGATGAAGGGCCTTATGTGTCTTTTATCTTCATCTGCACATTCAATTTAACTGAACAATTTACATGTGAGTATTCCAAATACAATGCATAAAAAATATGTCATCAATTCAGAATATTCAAAGGCACCTCTACCTGTATGTTGTAAACAAAATGGGCAGTTATTATTTCAATGTAGAACCTACCGAAAACCCTAACATGTTTTTTATAGCAGTCTTTGATCTTACTTGCTTTAATGAATCCTTAGTATATTTGCAGTCAAAGTAAAAATATTTATTGTGATTGTTTCATTGAAATAATTTTATTTTATTACCACCAATGAAAAATATTTTATAATATTTAAGAAGAGATCATTACAACAGTCTATTAACAACAGGAAAATATTTGAATGATTACTTTAAGAAATGAAAATCTAACCTGAATTGAAATCATAGTTCCTTAATCTAGCCAGAGTTAGTAACACTCTCCAGCCCTCTAAAGGGGAAATAATGAATCATAGAACTGGAGAGCTGGAAAAGACATTAAGGAAAAATCCTTTTGTGCAAAAGATAGGAACTAGGGTCCAGAAAAGGTCAGTATCTTAGCCCACATCTTAAAGCTACTCAGTGATGGGCAGGCCAAGCCACCAGCACTTCTGACTCAGCCTGGAGTTGTCTCCGCCACACCACACGGATATGGCAGACACTAAATCTGCATTACAGATATAAAAGCAAAATTCTAATAACAAGGACTTGACATTTCCTTTAACCCCTTATGGCCCTTTCATGTCCTTTATTGGAAACATAAACCAAGGCAGAAAATTTTACAAAATTTTTGTGCCTCAATGACAATAAAAGTTATTTTTCTGTTCTGCTATGGGATAATACAAACAATTTTTTAAAGAAATAAAATTTCAGGAAATCAGAGCTGTTATTTTTCAAAACCATTTGGAAGAGAGTCTAAGTAGTTTTTATCTTTTTTTCAAATTGAAGAACCCTTTTCAAATGAAAGCTAAACGTCTAGAAAAATGCATGTGTGGACAAATAATTTCATTTTCCAATAATGATGCAGTCTATAGAAGTTCAGAAGGCCATTTATAAATCGTATGAGCTAAGGATTAGCAAAATAGTTTAATGTTTTTATTCAAAACTCTACATGTGTCTAACTATTTTTAATTGTCTGTCTACTTTTGTTATAAAATTCCCTCAACTGACTGATCTGAAAACTTCTCATGAGAAAGTGGTTAATAAGATAATCAAATATGACTTACAAAATCCTTAAGTTACAGCTCTTATGTTTCCCTGGCCAAACTTTCCTTATTCTCTGGAGCATAATCTCCTCTTGTTTCTTTTTCATATACTCCAGGACAAAAGGGTCAAACAGAATTCCTTTTATTCTGCCACTTAATGCTCTAGACTTTGATCCTTTGACCTGAGTTAATATTTACACTGGTCAGTAGAACAGATGTATAATGAAATTAATTAAATGTCACACTTTATTGTATCAGTATAAAATAGAGTATAAATTGTCCTCAAAATTTATCCTTCAGTTGAAAGATTGTAGGCAGTTATCAGTGTCTTTTTCAATTATGTTTTTCAGGTAACAGTGAACAAAATACACTACAAAAGTGAAGCATAAAAAATAACTTCCAGGGTCAGGGATCTAGCTCAGTGGTTCTACTGCCTGCCTTGCAAGCTCAAGGTCCCAACTTCGATTCCCTGTACCAAAAAAAAAAAACTTCTATATAACTTTATAAGAAGCCTGCTTACCATCCTGCAGAGGAGAGAATTCTGAGTTGCTCTTCTGCCTGGGTGGTGTTAACAACACAGCTGGCTCAAAGACATGTGCTGGAAAACTGCTGGCTAGATGTGTACTATCAGCGGGGTTTGGCATCTGAGACAGTTTAACAGGCAACTCTTCCTGCAGGAAATCAACCACTTCTTCCCCTCTGAACATCAATGGCACAGACACATTAGTACTTAAAACAGGGCCCTCTGAAGAAGAAAAGAGGATATCTGTATGTAAGGAACAAAAAGGAATTGTGGGCACATTTCAGATATGTATTCCTAAGTGCCCTTAAGTAGAATACAAAATCCAGATGGCCTGTCTCAGTCACTTTCTTCATCAATGAAACACAATACCCAATATGCACAATTTAAAGGAGAAGAAGGTTCTTTTGGCCCAAGTTGTTAAGGTTTCAATCCGTAGTCAGCTGGCTCCGGGGCAGCATGGTGGAAGGTCCTGGCATGGAAGAAAGCTGCATGTCATGGCAGCCCAGAAGCAGAGAGCAGAGGGAGGACCTGGGGAGGCAGGTATGCCTGCCCCAGTCACATCCCCAGAGACCCACCTCTTCCGATCAGGCCCCACCTGCCAATTCCACACCAGCTGTAGCTCCCTCATAATCAGATCACCTCCACAAGCCCTGACTCTGAGCACATGAGGCTTTGAGGGGATATCAGATATAAACCATAACATAACCATAGAGCCTTCACTTTCTAGGCTACATCCTCCTTGGCCAATAATTCATAGGCAGACTCCTGCAAAGACAACACTGGCAAGAACTTGTTATTTTTGAGAAAAGCACTAAGTGCAAAAAAAAGCCACCTATGTACTGTTGCCTGGAACTTTAGAATTTTTCATTATTTGTTTTGGGTAGCTTTCTAATGGATATGACAAATAATCAATAGCAAAAACAGGACATATGAACACTGATCTCCACATACAAGACTCATCACAAAACAAGGTACTGTAATTCCACAAATCGTGCACTGAGATAGTACAGTCTTCTCGCATGTTATTATACAAGGGCTACATGAGCCAAGACTCAGAAAGATGCTAAGCGGGTTCCACTTATATAATCTTTCCAACTTTTTCCATAGGCAATAAAGATAATTAACAATAACCTTACAATATGCTCACTTCTAGCATTTTTTAACTTTGAAGAACTAAGCGTTCTCAGTTGTGAACCAGCACTGACCTATTTCTTGATGGAGATACTAACAGCAATATCCTGCCAGAAAGTAAAGCCCTAGCCATTGCATTTACTTCATGCAAGTTAAAGTTCAGGCTGCCACTTCTTAGAATCTATCCAAAGAAAATAATCCTACACAAACAAAAGACTTTGTACACAATCATCAAAGATTTACTTAAAAGTAAAAAAACAAAAAACCCTAAATGTCCTATTAACCTTATAGTTCATGGAGGCACACAAGGCAAATAAAAGATCTCAAAATATTGGCACGTCTGAACAAAAGTTATGAATTTCTAAAACTCAGGGGTTTTCTTCTTCCTAATACCATCTCTTATCCTTCTGCATCAGACACCATGATTAAAAGTGCTGGCACCAAAGTCTCACTGACCTAGGTATTTGGTTCTGTTACTTTCCACCTATGTGACTGCTAAGTTATCAATGTTCTTTAAGCCTTAGTTTCCTTATATAATAGTAACAATAATATCTACCTCATATGATTATTATAAGCACTATACATGTAAGGTTCAAAAAGTATTAATAAATGTCAGCTGGAAAAGTAGTGATAATTGTAGTAGTGGTAATACAGTTATGCACAGATAGCCAATAATTCCATATAAACTCAGGGGTTCAGGGTTTGGTTTGTTTGCTTGTTACTCTAAGGTAGGGATGGGGAACCTTTTAGAGCTTTCAGTGTAAACAGCCCACTGCGGCACACATGCCATAGGTTCACCACCACTTCTCTGAGGCCATAAACTGTTTAATGATGGTCTGGGATAATAAGACCGTACCTACCTGGACTGTCCCCAACTCTTCCATCTGTGGCTCCCCTTTCTGAAGCCTGAGTTTCCTGTCTAGAGTTATTTATCACAGGACAGTTCTTAATGGCATGTGTGAGTGATATAAGTTGCTCATCTGTTGTGACCATGTACTGCTGAAGTCTAGCCTAGAGAAGAAATGAAATAGTATCATCATCGTAACAAATATTAAACCATCACATAGAAAGCAAGCCATACAAAGCATGTGTGTATAAATCATTATTTTAAATCCTCCAAGAATTCAAGACTTTTATTCAAACTCTAAAACAATGCTATTCATAATTATAAATATTCTAGATGTCCCATAATAGAGAAATAGTTAAGTAAATCATGGACTATTAAGAAATATCCTGCTATAAAAATAAAAACCTTTTATACAGGGCATTCAATGTATAAAACTCTTCATACAAATTATTTCAAATGACTCTCAAGCTACCCCAAGAGACAGACACATCAGGGGCAGGAAACCCAACAGACTATTCAATGGACATTTAAACTAATAAAGATGAACACTATAAATATTTATGGTAATATATATAAAATATTTAAGGGAAAGAGAAAAGCACAAAACTCTATATGCAATACGATTATAACTACATTTTATACATGTGAGAGCTAATTGTATTGCATATATAGATATATTTTTATATTTATGTATATATCTCATACATGTTTTTAAATATTATGTAAGGTTTTCTTTTATTTAAAGGATTACTCATAAAATACCATATTCATTGATTTATTTTCTGTCGTACAGATAAACGTGTTTGGAATTCCATTCTTACATTTAAAACCCAATTGGACTGTCCAAAAATTTGGATGAATTTGTTTTATTCTTAATATTTTCCACATTGAAGATCTAAGTAGATCATCTGAAAGCAACAAGTTTGATTACAACCATATGACATAGGTCTTTCTAAGAATTGGTATTAAATAGTTCTTAGAAGCAGAGAAGACGGCAGGTGGAAAGAAAGGGAGATAACTTGTATAAATTGCTAAGACCTTGTAATAAAGAGAAAGTAACAGAAGCCACAGATTAATCACTAGAGATGAATTATTACCTATGCATATGTATTTCTCATACATGGTTAGAGAAACACAAATAAATCTAATAAAAATCAGTTGGGGCTAGACGTTAGAAATATTACAAATAGTCCTGACTACTACCAGCCCAAATTTCACACTCATACACCCAGTAGCCTCAATATTTCTATTTAGGACTCTGACTTCTCATACTTAAGATATACAAAACCAAACTCCTCCTGAAGCCTTTCCCGCCTCATAAATAGAAACTTCATCATTTTAGTTATTCAGCCCAAAACTCTGGAATCACCTTTGACTCTTTTTCCTCTCACATCCTCTCCTTCACTATATATCCAATAGGTCTGCTTGGCTTTTAAAATATATTCAGAATTTGATCAATTTTCATACCCTCTCCCTCTTCCACTCTAGATCCAGCCAGCATTTCCCACCTGAATCATTGCAACAACTCCTCTCTGCTTCTGTGTTTGGCCACCTAGTCTAGTCCTGTTCCCAAGCTGTGTGCTAAGACACAGCACTCAGGACACCGGAGTGAACTCAGAGGGGCACCAGAGGACATTGTCAATTTTCAAGAGAAACAGTGAAGCCTGACCATCTATCGGGCATCACTGAACTCCTAGGCTGGGGCAGTTTACAGTTTCAACATTAAGACTGCATGGTGCGAGAATCCGAAAGCGGAGTCAGCGGTGGGGTCCCGGCGCCCGAGCTGCCATCCGCCCCGCCCGAGTCAAGGAAGGAGCCGAGCGGCCCGCCGCCCTGGTCCTCGCAGCGGCAGCGGCAGCGGCCCCGGAAGAGGAGGAGCACGTAGGACGGTTTGATCTGGCTCCAGAACGAGGCCCCTGAGAGCTCCACCTAGCTCACAGGATAAAATCCCCCAGCAGAACTCAGAGTCAGCAATGGCTAAGCCCCAAGTGGTTGTGGCTCCTGTGCTAATGTCTAAGCTTGTCTGCCAACGCCCCTGAGTTTTACCCATCAGGTTATTCTGCTTATACAGAATCCTACGAGGATGGTTGTGAAGATTATCCTACTCTATCAGACTATGTTCAGGAGTTTTTGAATCATCTTACAGAGCAACCTGGCAGTTTTGAAACTGAAATCGAACAATTTGCAGAGACCTTGAATGGCTGGGTTACAACAGATGATGCTTTGCAAGAACTTGTGGAACTCATCTACCAGCAAATGTCGGACTGAATATGAAGTTAAAGATCAAGCTGCAAAAGGGGATGAAGTGACTCGAAAACAATTTCATGCATTTGTACTCTTTCTGGGAGAACTTTATCTTAACCTGGAGATCAAGGGAACAAATGGACAGGTTACAAGAGCAGATATTCTTCAAGTTCGTCGGCGTGAATTGCTGAATGCTCTCTTCTCTAATCCAATAGATGACAACTTGATTTGTGCAGTAAAATTACTAAAGTTGACAGGGTCAGTTTTGGAAGATGCTTGGAAAGAAAAATTAAAGACTGATAAGGAAGAAATTATTCAGAGAATTGAAAATGTCCTAGATGAAAACTGCAGCAGAGACGTAAAACAGATGCTCTTGAAGCTTGTTGAAATCCAGTTGAGTAACTGGAGTAGAGTCCATGCAACTTCAACATACAGAGAAGCAACACCTGAAAATGATCCTAACTACTTTATGAATGAACCAACATTTTATACATCTGATGGTGTTCCTTTCACTGCAGCTGATCCAGATTACCAAGAGAAACATTAAGAGTTACTTGAAAGAGAGGAGTTTTTTCCAGATTATGAAGAAAATGGAACAGATTTATCAGGAGCTGGTGATCCATACTTGGATGATATTGATGATGAGATGGACCCAGAGATTGAAGAAGCTTATGAAAAGTTTTGTTTGGAATCAGAGCATAAGTGAAAACAGTAAAGTTAAATTTCAGCATATCAGTTTTATAAAAGTTTAGGTATGATGATTTAGCAGAACACAGGAAAGCAAGAACATGTGTCATACTTATACCAAATTAAGGATGTTGAGTTATGTTACTAATGTATGCAACTTTAATTTTGTTTAACACTATATGCCAAAATAAACTTTATTCCCTATAACTTAAAATGTGTATATATATAAACTAGTTTATTATGTACAGTTAATTCTACTGTTTTGGCTGTAATAAAATCAATTTTGAAATTTAAAAAAAACATTAAGACTACATCACACTCCTTTTGTTAAGGTCAAATCTTTTCATGACTGGATTTTAGCAGGCACTATGCTAAGAAAAAAAGTTCTAGATGAAAATCAATGTGGAAAAGGAAATAAGAGTAATGGTGTCCAGTATGATTCTAAACTCCTTGGAAAGCTGTACTCTACTTAAAAAATACATACATTGAACTGATAAATAATTGTAGTTATTTAAGAATGAAATATATTATTTTTTCTTTTAATTTATCTGTATTTTTTTTTCATACAGCTCTTAAATTGCTAGGACATAAGATGTTTGGACCTAAGTGAAACTGTTAGGTTTTCTTTTGGCGTAGGGGTGTCAGATACTGAAGGCACTGTACACCGAGAGACAGCAGGGATCTCTTATCTAGCCTCAACACCACACCCAGAGGGATTCTCTTAAAACCCAAATCAGGTCAGTTTTCTTCTCTTCAATAGCTTTTCATCTCCTTCAGCCCAAGTCCTCCATCCCTATGCAAAGCCACATGTGATCTGCTTTATCTGACCTTGCTTGTCCCTGACTGCTCTCCCCTTCCACATCCCACCCTACACACTGACACTGGTTTTCCAGATAACTTTGTGCTCACAGCTACACTCAAGACCTTTGCCCCTGCTTTTCCTCTGCTTAGTCCATTCTCTCTGCCATCTAACCTAAACACTGGTTCCCTCACCTCTTCCAAGTCTTTGCTCAAATGTCGTCTCTTCAGACAGGCAGGACTCACTGCATTTATAACCACATCCCACCCACTATAGGCATTTCCTATACCTTTTATTTGCTTTATTTTTCTTCAAAGGACATACTGCCATCTAGCTTACTAATAGTTTACTTCTTTTAGGATTTATTTAAAATGCAAGCCCCGTGAGGGTAAGGATTTCTATATTTGTTCTCTAATATATTGCTGCATCTAGAACAATTTCAGGGCCAAAGTAGGTGCTCAAGAAAGATTTGTTAAATGAATCAGTGTATTTTAAGCCTTCTTATCTTCCCAGGAGAACTGAAATAAAGTTCATGCAAAAATATGTACATGAATGTTTCTAGCTATAATATTTATAATATTAAAAAGTGGAAATTACCCAAATTTTCATCAACTGAAGAATAAATAAATAAAATGTGGTATATCCATAAAATGGAATACTACTGGGTGATACAATGGAATGAAATATATATAATACAGCATGAATGAACCTTAAAAATTTGGTGAAGGAAAGAAGCCAGACACAGAAGACCACATAGTGCAGGATTCCATTTCTATGAAATGTCTTCAGTAGGGAAATGGATAGAGATAGAAAGTAGATTAGTGATTGCCAGGGGCTAGGGAGAGGGAAGAATGTGGAGTGATTCCTCACAGGTATGGGATTTCTGTCTGGAATGATGAAAATGACCTGGACTGAGACGACAGTGCTAGTATACAACCCTCTGGTTAACTATGAAATATGAAATTGTATACTTTAAAAAGCTGGAATGGAATGTGGACTAAATTATTAATTTTTTTAAAAAGTACACATCTTTATCTAAAGTCTATTGACACAAACACAAATTTCTCTACTATTCTTTTCACACCTCTTATGCTGATAAATATAAGTAATAATAACTACCCATGAGAACAAAAAGATGAATAAAGCAATCTCTGCACTCGAGTAGCACGAGATTTCAGTGACAAGGACACACATAAGTATAACATCATTATGTGGTAAAGACAAGAACAGCAATAGCCAAAGAGCATCAAAGGTATACAAAGGAAGAGTGCTCAGTGTAGTATGCAAGTATGAGGTTTTGGTGGGGTTTTTTTCTGGTACTGGGATCGAACTCGGGACCTTGTGCTTGCGAGGCAGGTGGCAGAACCACTGAGCTAAATCCCCAGCCCCATTATGAGGTTTTTCTAGAAGAGATATTGTGAAAGTTTTTTAAAGAAAAGGGCACAATTAGTCAAGTGGCAAGTCAAATATGAAGGTACTACAAACAACTCTGATGTGGCTGCAGGAGAGCTCCCAAAAGGTTATCCTCTTGCTGTTTTGAAATTAAAAGTGGCTGGGCCGGGGATTTAGCTCATTGGCACACGCCTGCCTTGCAAGCACAAGGTCCTGAGTTTGATCCCCAGTACCACACACACAAAAAAAAAAGAAAGAAAAAGAAATTAAAAGTAGCTATTGTAGCACTCACTTCATATTTTGGATTAACTACTACAGTATTGGTAATTATCATTTAAATGTCGATTCTGTCCTCTACACCAAGTAGTATGTTTCTTAAAGGCAGCAGAGTTATTCTATCTACTATTTGTAGTCTAAGCTTCTACTGTAGTACCTCCAATATAATAAATTTTCAGTAATATCTACCATTGATGATGATGAGTGATGAGTAATCATATTGGCACAGCTGAACCAAAGGCAACACTAAGGAGATCATACATGCATAAAGATATTTTATACTGTTACAAATAGAAAAGTTTGGGATAGCATCCAAGTACCTGTATGGTACTATTTTCTTCTCTAAGAAGAAGAATTTCAGCTGTCAGAGCATCAATGAGCTCTCGATGATCACCTAATACTTGTTCCAGGTGTTGCCTTGTCTCTACTTCTTTACGTAGTTGAACTTCACTCTAAAAAAATAAATAAATAAAAAACTTCCACTAATAATAGAACATATTGAAAATTTAAAGTTTCTGCTCAAAGCTGTCAAAGAAGATAATTACAAAGTCACACATATGATAGCAATGAGAATTTTAATTTTTTTATTGCTCTATATTTGTAACATAATTACATTCATTTCAGAGAACTGGCACATATATATTAAAAATATGAAATGCTTCATGGATTTGGATGTTATTCTTGAGCAAGACCCACACTAATCTTTTCTGTATCATTCCAATTTTAGTACATGTGCTGCCAAAGCCAGCACAAGAATTAAAAAATTTTGTTAGGTTTATTAAACTTTTTAAATAAAATATGCTGCATTATCTCTTCCCTTCTTTGAATACAATGAACAAAATAATATGTAAGATAAATAACTATATTTTCATGGAAAATAATAACTATATTTTCATGGAAGAAAGTAAAAAAATATACATTTACTTTTTTTTTTTTCTGTAGTACTGAGGATTGAACCCTGGGCCTTCTCAGAAAACTACATTTCCAAGCTATTTTTTAAGAAAAATTTTAGTTGAAAGATAAAAGATTTATATGACCTGAAGAGAAACCAGAGTGGTTACTTTTTATTTTGAGACAGGGTTTTGCTAAGACACTAAGTTGCCCAGGCTGGGCAACTTGCAATCTTCCTGCCTCAGCCTCCCAGAGTGCCGGGATTAAGGTATACCACCACGCCTAGCAACATTTACAAATTGTTTGAACATACATAGACCATCTCTAAAAGGCTACACTTGTACCAGGTAATGACAGCTATGAGAAAAGCAAACAGGGTAGCTGGAAATTAGGAATGAGAATCAGATGCTTCATTTACACCTTTCTGTATCTGAATTTCATACATGTGCTATATCACCAATTCAAAACCTGTTTGTTAAAATATAATTAAAAATAAATAACTACATGAAACTCTATTACAGTAACTATATCCATTAAATAATTTAGCTTTGTAAAATAAGGGATCAGGTAAACATACTTATACTCCTGTAATGCTTTCTAAGCATCCAAAGCACGCTTCTGAAGATTGCTGACTTACAGGTAAAAAAAATGTGAAGACTTGAATGTATGACAGGACAGCAAGTCTTTCATTAAAAAGCAATTTAAAACCAGGCAAGGGGCAGACACCTGCAATCCCATCAATCTAGGAGGCTGAGGCAGGAGGAAGGCAAGACCCAGCATAGCCTAGGCAATTTAATGACTTAGCAAGACCCTGTCTCAAAATTTAAAAAAGGGCTGAGGATGTAGTTCAATGCAAAGAACAGTGGGTCCAGCCAGGTATGGTGGTGCACACCTGTAATCCCAGCACTCGGGAGGCTGAAGCAGGAGTACTGCCATGAGTTCCAGGCCAGCCTGGGCTACATAGTGAGTTCAAGGCCAGTCTGAACCTAAAAGCGAGATTCTGTCTCAAAAAAAAAAAAACAAAACAGCAGGTTCAATCCCCAGTACCAAAAAAAGAATAAATAAGTAAATAACTAAAAATTTAAAAAATAGGGCAGGGGATTTAGCTCAGTGGTTTTGCTGCCTGCTGCGCAAGTGCAAGGACCCGAGTTTGATCCCTGGTACCAAAAAAAAGGGGGATTTTAGGAAAACATCTCCAGAGCAGTGAAACTCTGAATTAGAGTGGTTAATCTATTTCTTAAAATAAAATTTTCTTAAATACTTATGTCATATTTAACATATTTAAGTACATGGATTTATAAATGATGAACTGCATAGCTAATCCTAATTCTGTAACATTCTGAGGCTGATAATTATTTGTAAATAACCAATTCTTGCTTGTTTTCTAAGTTATTTTCCCAACAATAAGACACTTCTTACTTAGATGATGAAGTCATATCCGTTACAGACAGAAACCATGAGGAATTTACCACCTCACAAGTGTATAGGTTACAGTCAGTGCCTCGCTCCAAATTGAACTAAAGTGGGATTAGCAAGCAGAGCAAACCAACACACTGACAATAGTTATTAAAGATTTAGTATTAGCACAAGATATAAATTTATTTACAGATTTACCTTAGTAATTATAATTTTCTAAAGCTCATAGTAACATCAAAATTACTTATCTAAGCAAGTATCAACTAACAGTAGAGGGAGAATAGAAGCATAAACTTTTACTACAGATAATCTGAAACGGAGGTAAACACAGCTATTCAGATTTGACTGTATTTTATTTAGAGGTTATAATCAATTAAGCGAAAGGGAAAGAACCCACATACATGGCTGCTGAAGAGAAGACTTGAATAACTTCACACACTTACCTCTTTAAGGTACCGAACTAGGCGACAGAGAGAGCTCACCAGGGACAACGTGAAGCCTGTGAGACCCTGACCCCCCTGCAGTCCTGTGACCTCGCGTCCTGTGCACCGCTCATATTCTTCCATTTCCTGTTCCACCTCGTGTATCATGTGTTTGAGGATATCCAGGCTGGAATTATTGCTACTTTGCAAATCTGCAGAGGCTGTGCTCGCTGACAGCATGTTTTTCTTCTTCTTGGAAGGAGCACGCAAATCTGGTCTTCTTTTTACTAAGAATGAGAAGTCAATCTATTTTAAGATCAAAAAATTGTAACTACAAAGTGGCTAGAGAAACTTTCTGACTGTTGTTCACAATTTATCAAAAGTTTTTATGGAAATTATTACCATTTTATCATTAAAAATCTATACAGTTTAAACAAAGCTTATATTCTCTACAATAAATATACGAGAGCCATCTTTCTAGATTTATGTGGAATAGAAAGGATTTCTTAGCTATTCTTCAACAAACATCCAACTAGATGCATTTAAGGGAAAAAAACATTTACTAAGTGATTAAAATAGCTATATTAAGTTACATGTTTTATTATTTCTCTTTGTAAATTAAGGAACTGAACCTTTACTTAACAGCTGTTTTTGCTTCCTTGAGTTCAGCACTTGTCCCACAATATAGCTTGAGTCTAGAGTTCCAGAAGATTCTTCAGGCTGAAGCCTGCTTTGGATTCTCTTGATGGCACCAGTAGCATTTAGAGCAGCTAAATAAGGGAACATTGCAAAAAGCATCCCAGTGAACAAACTTTCTTTAAAAAGTATTTCAAGTGATGGATCCATTAGTATTTCACTCAATTAGGCTACATAAGGGAGTCAAATGAGAGTCAAAAGTTTAATTACACTCCTTTAGAAATAACCATGTCCCACAAAGAACTAAATAAAGCAGGCTACTAGGCAAAGGGGGAACAAACCTCTTTGTTCCTCTGATGCAAGAGGAGAAGATGGAGTTGCAGGAGGGGTTGTAATTTGTGACTGTGTTGCTATCTTCTGCTGAATATCAGTCCACAGTTTATTAATTAACTCAGAATTATCTTCCTTTAGTTGGTGGAGAAACCTGTAAATGACAGGATAATATGCTATACTAGAATTAATAAGTGCTTCATTGTCCCAATGTCTACATGTTTGATTTGAAAGAGCTTTCAGTAATTCAGAAATATATACACACACACACACACACAAAATTTATATATGAGAGGTATATATATAAAATGTCCAAATGGGCAAATATATAGATACAAGTTAAATTAATCATTGTCTAGGGATTGGGAGGAAATAGGGTCTGACAGCTGAAGAGTATAGGGTTTCTTTTTGGAAAGATGAAAATATCCTAAAGTTGATTGTAATTGTTTGTGAATATTCAAAACAGAACTGAGTATTATAATTTAGATAACTGAACTGTACACATATGAACTATAAATCAATAAACTTTTTTTTTTTGGTACCAGGGATCGAACTCAGGACCTTGCGCTTGCAAGGCAGGTGCAGTGCCACTAAGCTAAATCCCCGGCTCAATAAACCTATTATTAAAAAGGAAGGTAGGAATTTTATTTATTGGCACCATAAATATCGACCTAGAGAGAAGCTGTTTTTAAGCAATCTATGGACAGCATATTAGAACATTATTTGCTAAAGAGCACATATACCAAAGGTCCATGATATAGTCTCTTCAGAGAAGACTAGTTCAAAACAACAGAAAAGCCTTTGTGAGGCAGCATTAACATTAAATTCAATCTTCAGTATAAATCCCAAGAAGGGTCTTGTAATGATGTTTCTGTACAAGTTAGGTAACTAAATTCTAATCAATCTGACATGTTTACTGCCTTTAATGTTTATAATATAAGTCAGGTTGTTTGAAATAATAAAAACAAAAATAATACAAGTATCATCATGGTAGGCTAAAAAATGGCTCACCAAATGATACCCATAACCTAAACCCTAGAACCGTGACATAGGTCCATGAGATGAGGAGATGATCCCAGACTATAGGATGGTCCCTAAATGCAAATCATGCACATACTTATAAGACAGAGGCAGGGGGGGTCTGACACATACAGCGAGAAGGCAATGGGAAGACAGAGAAGGGATGAGAGTGACATAGCCACAAGCCATGAAACGCTCAGGCCCCGAAGGCAGAAAAGGCAAGGAAGAGACTCTCCCCTGGAGCCTTCAGGGGGGATTATGGCCCTACCAGCAATTTCAGCCTACTGAAACTGATCACAGATTTCTAATCTCCAAAGCTGCAAGAGAATAAATTTCTATTGTTTTAAGCCATCAAGTTTGTGTTCATTTGTTACAGAATCCACAGAAAATTAATATAGATTTTGGACCTGTATATGGGGTGCTAGTATAGTAAAAACCTAAAAACATGGAAGTAGCTTTGTAACTGAATAATGAGTAAAGGCTGGAAAAAGTTTAGGTGGATGATATAAAAAGCTCAGATTGACTTAGATGGGGAAAACTTGTAATCACTGCTTCTTCCTGTGACTGTACTAATCTGCAGAAACATCAATGACCCAAAAGAAGCTTTTTATATTGGGTTTATATTGGTTATATATTATACATCACTGAAAGAAATCTCTTTAGTGATCACAGAAGCATATAATCATAGAATTTTCAAACCAGAGGCACCTTAGAGATCTTAGGCTCTTCCTGTTGTATTTTAGAAATGAGGAAATAAAGGCCATAGATAAACTAGCTAGTAAATATCTAAAGGTTTGGTCTCTTGATTCCAAGCCCAATACACCTTCTAATATCTCATACTAAATATTTAAGGTATCCTAAAGTTGGACACTACCTATGCATACAACTGAGATAAAATTAACCATAGCTAATAAGTAAAAAATGGTAATTTAACTCAAAAATAATAAAAAAGAATAAAAGCAATTTTGTATAAGACTAGTTATATTTAGTTTCTGAACAAAAAAAAGTGCTTCATAGATTATATTTATTTCTAGGCATGCCTGTGAAAATATAAATTTGCATCCTTCTTCTTCACCTCCAAACACTACCCAGTGTCAGCAAGAAGGGCTGGGCCAGGGATTTAGCTCAGTGGTTCCAGCACCTGCCTTGCAAGCGCAAGGTCCCTAGTTCGATCCCCAGTACCAAAAAAAACAAAAAGGGCAAATAAAACAGCACATAATCCACACCTTCTACATTACAGGAAGGCAGAGGATACTACTAATTTCAAATTACTTTTAACTAGAAAATACCCCCATCAAAATCATGTACAGGTACAAATTCCCTACGAGGAGTGTTATCATTGCCTATATCTCAAATGTACCAATAAATGTTTTCCAGCAAAAATATTTCCTGAGCTCCACCTAGGAGCCTTTTAGAAAGTGGGTATCTGTGAAGTGGCTGCTCAGAAGAGGAAAGCTGAGAGCCTTAATGGAGACAAAAGCCACCCTAGAAAGGGAGAGTCCACTCTCAGTATACAAATACTTAAAAAGAAAAGGAAAAAGACCTGGGAGATTTCCTTGTGCGAAAGTGATAATCTTAGAAAGGATCAATTTTCGGGGGAGACTTGAGTGGTAAGAGGTGGGGGGAGCAAGAGTTTTTCAAGGCAAACTATCAAAGAAAAAAATCAGTCTTCACTCATTATTTTTGAAAGCATCCATTAAACTGTGTCCACTATAACTGATAGAAGAGTGTGCGCTGAGCTAGGAATCTTGTAAGCCACCCCAAACTCTCAACTGCATCCACAAAATAGACTAAAACAGTAAACACTCACATGAAAGCAACGTAATAAAATAAAACATAGAAACTGAAATAATTCAACAAATGGAATTCCTCCCCCACTCCACCAAGAAAATAAAAAACAGCAGAAACTATTACAATACTCTAAATGTAGTTAAAAGACTATGAAGATATGTATACAGCCATTTACAAATTAAGAAAGACTATGAAGTTTTAGAAAAATAGACAAAAGACATGAACAAAGTATTCTCTGTAATGTCTCTCAAATATATAAAATATTTTCAACTTATAAAACACAAAGTAAAACAACACTGCAATAGCATTTCTCATCTATGAAATTATTAGCAAAAATAAAAATAAACTGATAATACATTCTGTTGGCCAGATATATACTGCCAGTGAGAATACAAAATACTACAAAATAAAGCAGAATTTGGCAATTTTCAAACACAATGACACGACATTTGCCTTTTAACTCTCAAATCACACTTCAAACAATTTTCCCTAAATATGAACTTCCAATAATACAAAACACATATGTACAAGATTATTCATTGTAGTATTTTTGTTTTTATAAAATGCCGGAAATAACCTATATGGCCATATACATCAAAAATGATGCATCAAAGTAAATATTTTAAATAATTATACAAAATGGTTGTCAAAATATGCGTGGATGCACATATGCATGGATAAAAACACAGGAAAAGAGAAAAAATATAAAATAAACATAGGAAATGTTTATAATTGGTGAATCTGTGTGAAAAGCATATAGGAGGTTTTTACACTATTATTACAACTTTTTTTGAAACTATATGCACACAAAACATTTAAAGATATACTCTCAATTAGTTAAAAGAAAAAAGATGCAATACAAAAACATTTGAAATAGACTTTCAGAAAAGCCAAGAACTGTAAATATTCCTGACCTCTACACATACCTGTCTGTGTTCATATTAGACTGAGGATTTAGAGAGTTATCCAATTCATTCTCACTTTCTTCAGACTGGCTATTAATTGTTCCTTCTTCTCCTTCGTCATCTACTTCATTAAGAGCCTAGCTCAACACAAGAAAATAAATAATACAAGTTGTTACATACACAATCATCCTTTCTTTCTGTTACAGCCAAAGAGACTTCCCAAGGTTAATGCCTTCATAGGTGCTCTGGAACCCAAAGCCTCTCACTTCCTCCCACACCATCAACTGTCCTCTCTTCAACATCCTCAGCCTCTCCTCCTTCTCTCTATCCTTTCTCCTACCCACTCCCTCTTTCCCTCTCTCTGCTTCAGCCAATCAAGTTTAATTGTGCACAAGCCACTCCCATCTTACCCTGACCCTATACCCACTTTTGAGCTATCTTGCCAAACTTCAACAAGTTGTTCTCACTTCTCAATCACCATCTATGCCTTATAATTTTGCTTCTCCCCTCCAATCCACTCTACAAAGTCAGTATCAACACATTTATTCTGTCTTTATCTTTCTTTACTATTCTGACTTATTGGACCTTAATGGCCACTAACTTCTTTCTTTTAAAATCTTGATATACTACTTATCCTTTAATTTCTATGAGATTGTATTTTCTTGGATTTTCTTCTTTTCTGGCTGTTCCTTCCCAATCTCCTGTATTGGTTTTCTTTTTCTACCCTTCTTTTATATCTGATGAAACTCAAGGTCCTCCCTTTAGGCTTTTTCTGCTCTCATCTGATCCACTTTTTGAATGTTTTTATCAAGTCAAATGCTGTTAATTTCCAAATCTTTATCTCTACCTAGATCTCTCTTGAACCTGATACATTTATATTCAACTGCCTAAAAGATATCCCTACCCAATGGGTCCAAAGCTGAACATCTTCCTAAGCTTTTCCCACCATTCTTCAGAAACCTGTTCAGCTAATACTGCCTAAGACTATGAACACTGCCACCATCTACTAAGATGCTCAACCAGCAGACTAGGATTTTCTTTTTCACCCATCACATCTAAGCAGTCATCCAATCCTGTTAACTCTACCCCATTTTAATCTCTCTCAAATATAGGCCTAGTCCTTTATTTTCTCACTATTGGCACCTCTTTTAAGTCAGGGCCTTACCATTTCTCATCAAGATTCCAACCTAAGTCTTCTAACCAGACTGCTGTGGTTTAAATATGGCTTGTTCTCTCCAAACTTCATGTTGAAATTAATCCCCATTATGAGATCTTAAGAGAGACAGGACCAGATGGGAAGTAATTAAAGTTCTGCCTTCATGACTAGATTAATCCATTATTGGACTAATAGATCAATGAGATGTATCAAGAGCGGTTCTGCTATTAAAAGCCAGTCTGGCTTTGTCTTACACCATACAATTCCCCTGTCACCTCAGCACTCTGCCAACAAGACCATGAACAGATGTTGCCCCTCAACCTTAGCAGAAACATGAGCCAAAATAAACCTTTTTTCTTTGTAAGTAGCCTAGTCTGTGTTGTGCTATTAGCAAAAGAAAACTGACTAAGGCACAGACCCTCTCTTTCTCGTCCTGTCCCTCTCCAATCCATCTTACACACTACAGTCAATCTCATCATGACTCCATTCACTTCAAATCCTTTAGTGGAGTCATAACTTTCCAGGACTTTAGGCTTTCAGAGGCTGGTCTTCTCCTGAACCTCAGATCTTGCCAAGTCCACATGCCAATGGTGGAGACACACTTACTGTTGCTGGGATACACTCTGCACTTGTCTCCAGGCTCCAAATGACACCAAGTATTGCCAAACAAATAGGGCCCAACATTACACAACTTACTTCAATAAATGAGAAGGCTCCAGTTGAATATATTATAGCAATAAGCTATTCTTAGATGATTACGTTTCTAACTATCTGAAAATCAACTTTTCAATAAGTGCCAAAATAGTAATGGTTTTTGCTAAGGGCTATAGCTAATGGGTTTGGCTATTTTAAATATGTATAACATTCTATGTAATTGCCTTTAGGTAGAAAACTATGTCTTTCATGAGTCTGAACCTGCAAGTCCCTAGGTTTAGCCCTTCAATTAAAGATTTTTCCCTTATTTTTAATGGAAGGAATAAGGAAATTTTATTTAAAAGGTACTAAGTCCTAGTCATTTCTAAAAAGTTGTTTTATTTTAGTATTAAGTTTTTTGTGGGCTTTTAAAAAATATTTAGAGTCTCAAATTATAAATGTTTTGACCAAGAGTTTCAATTATGTTAGAATACAGTTATTTAATAATATTTTATAAGTGCATCATGCACTATTATTTTCCCACAAATACCACATTTCCTGGGCGGGTGCCTTTTAAACATATTAATACATTAAAAGTGACCAACATTTAATAAAGAGCTATATTCCTGACATTATGCTGGCCTTTTACACAGCCTATCCCCACTGCTGATCCGTGCAGCAACTGTATCAGGTATATTCTATTCCCATTAATAAAGAACAAGGAAACAGAAAGACAAGACCACTTTGAGCCAACTCAGAAATCTTAAGGAAAGAACTCAAGATCAAACAGCGAGTAAATAGCAGAACACAGATCCACCTGATTCCAAGGAGTTCCTGCTGCTTCCTTAATGACAGATGCAGGCAGCACGTGGAGCCACATGACCTAAATTAGAATTTCATCTCTGATGCAAACTACATGATCTTGGACAAGTCACAATTTTTCTTAGCCTCATGCTCTTTCATCTACCAAATGAGGATAACAATAGGACCTACCTCCTAGGTAAGCACTCAGTAACTGTCCATTGTTACTATCCAGTCTCCTATCTTGTTTAGTATAAACATTACTCACACAAAGTCCAACATGCTTGTCTAAGAGCAAATCTAGCAACCACAACTAGAGACTATTGCTGTTTAAGCTTTTAAAATGTTTACTACAATGCCTACATCAACTTACACTTCAGTGTAAGCACTGTGGTATGAGCACAGCACATTACCTGAGGCTCCAGAACAGACTCATTAGGGAAGGACTGGGTAATTGGGTCCTGGTTCACCATGCTGGGACCCTGAGAGGAATCAGGAGCCATTGTTACATTTGGAAACCCTGCAGAAGGAAAGTAAGTCATGATGACTGTTTCATTTAATTGACTTCACAAATTCTATACTGCTACAGATTTGTATCATCATATGAAAATCTCAAATACTAAAAACAATAGCAGCAGCTTATACTGAATAGTGCTTACTATATACCACCGTTTCCAATGCTTATGTATGTAGGTACACGCATACATTTAAGCTCATTTTCAGACTCACAAAGCCCCATGAGGTAGACACTATTTTACAGATCAATAAACTGAAACTGAGAGACTACAAGCAACTACCTCAGAGTTACACTAGTAAATGGTTGAGCCAAGACTCAAACTTTATACCAAACCTGTTTGTTTTTGAAAAATTAAGATGAAAAATTAGCTAAATACACATCAAAATGAATAATGTTGTGTATCTGATGAGAGGCAAAGTTTCTTTTAGGGAAAAATTGAAGTTTTCAATGCTAAGCCTTAGATTTCAAATTAAGCATCACTCAGATTATATATCAGTGATGGTAAACCTTTTAGAGCTCTTAGTGATAACAAACAGCCTGCTGCAGCACATGTGCCATAGGTTCACCACCACTGTTTTATATATAAACACAAGTATTTTACTTTTATAACAAACTGGAAATCATCACATTTTAAAGTTATGAAATACTGCACATTATGCCATATTTTAGTAGATAATAACAATTTACCTTTCTTTAGCTGAATAATTTGTAATGATATCGTTAGTAAAATGCAAAGAAATTATAATGACTCTAACCCTAGAAACCCCATATATTATCCATCCTGAATACTTGTAATATATAGTTTGCCTGTGAAAGAACGTTAAATTCTTTCAAATAGTCAATAAGGAAAAGAAGCTTTTGTTTGGATCGAATACTTACCTGTGCGCCTGTAAGGAGCATAGACAAAGAGCTTTTTTGCTGCAGCCATCAAATGATCAGATTTCTCCAACACATCCTGCATCTGGTATTGATCAGAAAGAATCTAGACATGTGTTAATGACAGTTATTATTCAGAAACAAAATATATTTACTTTTCAAATCACAAAAGAAAAGAAAAAGACTATATAAAGAATCAGTATAAAATAACCATAGGCCATCTCCTTAAAATCCTTCAGTGGCAATATCTCTAACTACCAGCAGATGGGGCTATTGCAATTGTTAGCAGCTTTCAAATAACAGCTAACAAACCAAATACACATTAAATTGTGACCCAGTACACTCACATCTACGCAAATATATCTACATATGTAATAAAATTTTCACTTAACCTTTCTCTATGAAAACTACTTTTATACTTTCTCTTAATTTCTATTCTATTTTTTAAAAGATAACCTACTAACTTGATTTCACGATTAACAAATTAAGATTCACTGTTCAAAAAACACAAATTAGAGATAAGACTCTTTAAGCCATAAACTTAGAGGTGCTTCAATCACTAAAGTAATTTCATAATCTATAATGGGTCATAATTAAAATATGAGTTTTAGGATTAAACAAATGTGATGCTTCTGTGTTTACAAATTGGCTTTTTATCCTGGAGGAGGAACTCAGAAAATCGCCTCAGTGGTGCCTTTAATATGCACTTTCTTCCTAGGAGCTTTCATAATTACAAGGCCACAGGCTAGAATAAAAAGTCAACTCTATCTACCACCACCAGGTGGCGCTCTCAAATTGAAGGAAGCCAAAATTAGCAGTCCAGTTTTCAAAATCAATAAAACATCTGGTAACAAACGTTCTTACCAGAATTTCTCTATATCACAGAATTATATAATGTGACCTCAGTTGTGGTTTTAGGACACAGAAAGATAAGTCGAATTCTTACTTTTTTCCTTTCTCCTCCTCGTATACATAGCCAAGCAGGTCAGCTAGCTCAGTTGGTGAGAATAAAGTTCTGAATTTATTCCTTCCAAAAAGAGTAAGCTTGGAATGTGAAGGCCAAGCACTACATTGAGGTTCTAGGTCCAGTTAAAGAAAACCAGGCAAAATCCGACCTCTTCATACTTAAGTTTCCTGATGTAGGGTTTCCTCAACCCCACAGGGTTGTGATAGATTTGTGGACCACTGAAAACCTGTATAGCACTCTAGTGATGCTTGAGAATGCTATTACAGCATAAATTACATCAGCCATGAAGCAATTCTCTATCCCCAGTGAGCCATCTTACAAGTACATACAATTAAGGAAAGAATGTGATTGGGTTAGAGTCTATTATTAGGGCAGAAAAATTACAAAAAGCTGATTTCATAATGGCTGTTTTTAAGAATTTACTAAAAAAAAAAAAAGATCACTGATCTATCAAAATAAAGAATAAAGAACTCAAACAGACAGAAGCAGATTGTGGAGGAATAATCTTACCAATCACAATGAAACTTGATATTAATGAGGTCTCAAGTAAACCCTGCCCTGCCGCCTTCTGCTGGTCTCTGCTCAGGCTCCTTGGAACAGATGTTTGAATGATCAAATAGAAGCAATGTACTGACTTTCTTTGCTCTTTCTGTTTGTCTCATAAAACTCATTTTGACAGGTAAACTGATCTCCACAAGCCCATCTGTATATATGCTATTACTATCCAAAATGTGTTTACAGAGTACAAACTTGCAAGTGGTAGTGAACAGTTTTGGATTTTCAAAGGACCAGTCAGTCAAGGTCCCTGCAAAAACACTACTGGAAACTCCTCATCTTAACCTTTTTGTTCTCTGATAATAGGAACTAAACAGAACTGAGAAATTACAAAGGGATTTGGGGAGTTGTTACACTTTTGGAATTTGTGAAAGCCTTATGAAAGCCTCCTTCTTTCTCTGAGTTGGACTTGGAACCCAATTTCCTAGATTCTCACCACCTGGGTGCATGATACAGCAAATGCAGTCGAAGACTATGCTGGGGAAGATCTATGCAAATCTAGGTGCATACGGATGGGTCTTCAGACGCATGAGTCTTGTGGCTTCAAAACACAATAATTAAGCCTAAACAAATATGCTTATGGAGAGCTTTTCCTTCGGTCCTATCATATCCCTTTAACATAAACATTACAAATTTAGTAACAATGAAATAAAAGATGCTCATATTTTTGACTCAACAATTCTTTAATAATTTATCCCATAAATATACATATACCCCAAAACATATTCAAGAATCTATCACATTATTTATAGTGGCAAGGCAGGAGGCAATCTATGGGTAGCATACACTGCTGCTTAGCCACCAATATTCCTTCTTCCTCATTGCCCTTCAACAGCAGCACTCCCCAGTTTTAGCCAAGTATACAGCTTGATTTCCCAACTGTCTTTGCAGGTGAGAATGACCGTGCAGCCAGGGATTTAGTTCAGTGGTTTTACCGCCTGCTGCGCAAGTGCAAGGACCTGAGTTCAATCCTCAATACCAAAAAAAACTTATTACAGAGAATGACCATACAATGACTTTCTGGTCATCAGGAAATATGCCACAACTTCCGGAAGGGAATACCATGTACTTCCTTTTCCACTTCTGTTGGCTTGCATACAACTGAAGGAACCTGTACTCAGAGATAGAAGCTGTGTAACAAAGGACTGCAGGCTCCCTTCCCAGCTACCACTTACCTCTGAACTGTTTTATGAGACAGAAATAAATCTCCATTTTGTTCAAACCACTATGATCTACCATTCTTTTTTTCCTGGAAGTTTAATGTTACACTAATATAGAAGCTATCTCCATCAATAAAACACTGATAAATAAATTACAGTAAATCTGTATACTACAGGGCCATTACAAAGAAAAGGTAAAATCTGGAGATGCCGCTCACTGTTAGTCACTTCTCTAGCACGTGCAGGGCCCTGGGTTTGATCCCAGTACCACATTAAAAAAAAGAGAAAAAGAGGGGCCAGGGATTTAGCTCAGTGGTTCCACCGCCTGCCTCCCATATACAAGGTCTCAAGTTCGATCCCTGGTACAAAAAAAAAAAAAAAGAAAGAAAGAAAGAGAAAATGAAAAAAAAGGTAGATTTCTAAGTACTGACATGGAATAATTTCCAAGATACATTGTTAAAGGGAAATGAGTGAATTCACTAAGAGGTTTTCAACCCCACAGCACATTAAAATTACTAAGAAAACTATCTATAAAATACCTCAATGGGACTACACCACATATCAACTAAATCCTAACCTCTGAGCATACAGTCCAGACACAGTTACATTTTTTAGAGGACCTTTTCAACCATAACTAATTCTAATGTGCAGTATAGGTTTAGAAACACTACCTGGGAGCACTAGCAAAAGAAGGCAGAGAAACTTCACTCATCCTCTCACCAAGCTCCTTTGAATCCCTGCTTCTACCATATCTGTTACTTGTAGGAGAAATTCAGAACACAAGAAAAAGGCACTAGAGAGGGAAAACTAAAGCCCAGGATCTGATGCACTGCTGAGGGGCTGCCCTTTCCTGGATAGAACTGTGTCTTCAGGCCTTTCAATGAGAATTAGCATGTAACATTCAAATTACATGAGCATCCAAGATAACCACAAATTAGTTATCTGTAAAGGAGACTTCTCTCTCAATCCACTATTCTTTTCTCAAGCTCATGTAAACATTTATTTGAGAGAGAAAATTCTTCCTGATGATATGTGAGATTGAGACTTTATTTCACCGAGAACCCTAATAAAGTTCTCAAAAGACAAGGTGTGATTTAAGGCTAGCACGAAAGGTCACCCAGACCAACCAGTGCCATTAGCTTCAACATGAGTAAGAGGCAACACTACAAAGCACAATTCCTTTACAGTGATTTCAGTTCAAATTTAAAAGGTTATTTTGCTGTATTTTCCTCTTATTTCCCGTATTATTTATTCCTACATATTTGATTACTTACCCAAATACCCTACATCTACCAAAAAGTTAAGCCTAAAATAAATGGGTTACTACCTAGTTGGATAAGCACACAACATTCTTTTATTTATTTACTTGTTTTTTGCTAAGTAATCTAACAGCAGTGCTATTGAACTGAGAAAAACAATTATAGTAGTTCATGTATAGAAGAGACTAATTATGTGCCAAGGACCATACTGATGATCACTTTACAATATTATTAAAATCTCATAATAATACAACCAGACATTTTAAAGATGAGACAATTAAGGCTGAAAAGTTAAATAATTTAAGGTCACAGAGCTAGTACGTTGTAGAGCAAGAATTCAAACCACCACACTAGACTCCAATCATCATTCTGCTATTTTTTTCAAAGTCCACATAAAAGTATAATTACAAAATACAATGAACACTTAAATTTTTAAAATTACAATAAAATATATATTGTCATTAATCCCTTCAAAATATTCCCCCATGCTTGAACACATTTTTCCCATAGTTCTTGCCACTCTTTGAAGTAGTTCTGGAAATCCTCTTTAATGAGTGTCTTTAGTTGCACTGTCATGGAGGCCTTAGTGTCCTACACTGATTCAAAACATTTACCTTTCATGGTCATTTTGACTTTGAGGAAGAGCCAGAAGTCACATGGTAGCAGATCCAGTGAATAAGATGCATGAAGATGCACTGTAATGTTTTTACAAGCCTGCCTTTCCATCAGATGGCACTGGACAGCAGCATTCACTGTATTGATCACACCACTTAAGGATACTCACAAGGAAGACTTCCTGGACTGTTTCAGAAAGTGCAAGAACAATGGGATAAGTCTGTTCAAAGTGAACAGGAATATTTTGAGGGGGGTTTATAGCAATGTGTCTTCTACTATATTTTTTAATGTAAATACATACTTTATTTTTTGATCAGCCCTTGTAGATAATAGTATAAAGATGCAATTACTAGTCTCTTTAATGTGAATCAAATCCAAGGAAAAAGAGAGAACCTTATTTATTTCTTTTTTCTAATTCTTAAGATAATCTCTGTTAGCATTACCTCCTTCATGATAGACAATCTAGTTTTCTCTAGATTCCAAGTTTCTGGTTTCTGCTTCCTGCATTTTCTTCTCAGAGCTTTTTCTTGGAGTTCCCAGTGAACTAATGCTCTATTCTTCGATTTGTGTATTTCATGACGACGTACCTATACAGAAGGAAAAAAATTCAGAGGAACATTTTCAGTAACAAAGAAGTTGCCTATACAGATGGTAGGACCACCTAGTCATCTAGTTCATCACTTTTTAAATTCTTTTGGGTTCAATATATGCATATTTATATATATATATATGCACAACCAAATTTTTCATAATCCTCTAAATTTTCAAAAGTGATCTTAAGAAAAAGAAGTATCTAGAACTAGTAAATCTAGCTAAAAGACATACTGGAAATAATATTAATATCAATTTCCTTTGCTCCAACATTGTCCAATAAACTAGTGTTTCTCAAACCATAGGTTAGGTCTCAATTTAATGGATGATAAAAATCAATTTGTGGGTCAAAATTGACATTTTTCACACACACACACACACACACACACACACACACACACTGAGCACAATGTAAAAGTCACAAAACCCACTAAGTCATCTTTGGCAAAGACACATCAGTTTCATGATAATCACATCACTACCAAGAATGAATTGTGCAGTGTTTTCATAGCCTTGCCATGGTTTCATGTGGAAGTGAGCCAGAGAAGTTGCAGAAATCCAGGGAAGTGGAGTTCCTGGGACAAAGAGAAATGAACCACAGGTCTTAAGGAAGAAGCCAAGTATGGTGGCACATGGTTGTAATTCCAGGATACTGGGAGGCTGAGGCAGGAGGATCCCAAGTTTTAGCCCAGCCCAGGCAATTTAGCAAGACTGTCAAAAAAATTTTAAGACAGGGGATAGTGATGTAGCTCAGAGTGAAGGTCCTGGGTTAAATCCCCAGTACCAAAGAGAGGAAAAGAAGAGTTACAAAGGAAGAATGTTTTGGGGTGGCTAAGGAAGAAAAGCAGATATCTGACTTTATAGGTAAGTACGTTAGTATTCAAAACTAAGTGTAAACAAAACTCAATCTGACAAATGTCCTACTGAGTTTTCACCATGTAAATAAGAAATCAATCCATTAAAAGACTAACAATCAGATATTATGTGAGGATTCTGATTCACATAAGACAAATGAAATGACTTTTTTAGATAATTAGAAAAAAATCTGAGTTGGGTGTGGTGGCACATGCCTGTAATCCCAGCACTTGGAAGGCTGAGGCAGGAGGACCTCTGCTTGAGGCCAGCCTCAGCTACATAGTAAATTCAAGACCTTGTCTCAAGAAAACAAACAAACGTTAAAAAAGTCTGGATGTGAACTAAATATTACAAAAATTATTTTTACTTTTGTGGACATGATAATGCTATTATAATTATTTTAAAGTCTAATTTAATATGTATACACAAAAGTGATATGTTCTTTAGGATTCACTTTAAAATATTTCAGTGAAGAAAAAAACACAGTATAAGTGAAGTAACTATAGCAAAATTTTAACAAGTATTATTTCCAAGTGAACAACACATGGAAGTATATGAGAGTTCTTTATATTTTACTTGAGTTTGAATTTTTCATTAAAAAAAGTTCAGGGCTGGGAATTTAGCTCAGTGGTTCCAGTGCCTGTCTTGCAAGCACAAGGTCCCAAGTTCAAACCCCGGTACCAAAAAAAAATTTAAAAAATAAAAATTAAAGAAGTTCAGCCTATTAGATATCATTATTATCCTCAAATATTTAAGGAATACTTCGTTAGCCTAGTAGGATTAAGACTTCTAGACAGTTTAAGATATAGTTCCTGTTTTTTAGAAGCATTAACAATATCTGCCCAGGGAGATTGGGCAAATCCATATAAAGATACATGATATGCATTAGATGGCATATACTCAATGCTTTATTTAGACAGTAAGTTCAGAGGGAATAACAGTAGAGCAATTTCAAACAGCAGGACTTCAAACTCGCTAGAAAGCTATAGTGACCCAATAGTGCAGTAGTGCATAGGGATAGACATATAGATCAGTGGAAGAGAGGTACAGAATAAACCCTCATGCTTATGGATAACTGATTTTTCAATAAGACTCAGATAACTCAATGGGGAAAGAATAATCTTTTCAATAAATGATACTTGGACAATTGGATATCCACTTAAAAAAACAAAGTTGGACCCCCTTCCTCACACCATATATAAAAATTATCTTAAACGTAGACTTAAACATAAGAGCTACAACTATAAAACTTTTAGAAGAAAACATAAAAGTAAACCTTTGTGGACAATAGGTTAGTAATATCTTATTGATATGACACTAAAAACACAAGTGGTAAAAGGAAAAAACCAGGTAAATTAGACTTTATGAAAATTATAAGCTATCATGTTTGACAAGCAGCATCAAAAACGTGAATACATGGGCGGGGGATTTAGCTCAGTGGTTCCACCTCCTGTCTCGCAGGCACAAAGACCTGAGTTCCATCCCTGGTACCAAAAAGAAACAAACAAAAACTGAATAGAAACTGGGTTGGGTAGTGTATGGCTATAATCCCAGCACTCTGGGAGGCTGCAGCAGGAGGATCACAAGTTTGAGCCCAGTCTAGGCAACATAGTGACTTAGCAAGACCATGTCTCAAAATTAAAAAGTAGAACGAGTTGAAAATGTAGTTCAATCCCCAGTAGCACCAAAAAAA